ATCCTTGCTTGTAGTCTTCTCTGGCGTGGAGATACTTGCAGTTATCGCCGAAGCCGCAGAAACCGGTTTGTTTGTACTAATGATTGTTAGTATCTATAATATTTGAGGAGGTAACTTGCTGATTAACTTACGTCTTTGCAAACGTCTGGTGCGAAATCGGTGACTGTGATGGTCCTGATGTTGGTGGGCGCCTTGATGGGGCCAACCGTCTTATTTGGCGCGTCTGGGTTCTTCGTGATGAACGAAGTCTGGTTCGCCAGTCCCTTGTATGTTCCGTCGGGGGCTTGTGACGTCTTTGCGACAGCTCGCGAGCTGCCTAGTAGGTTCTTTGATGAAAGAGCGTCCTTGCCGTCCTCGTCGTACCAGTTGCTTTGTTTCGTGGCATCGTTGGAGTCTGATATAGGCACGCTGCGATCGGCGGTAAAGACTGTGGCGGAAAGGTCTTGTTTCGACTTGGCGATGTCCTTGGATGAGGCCGTAATGGCGCCTGCCTTTGTCTTCCGCCTCTTGACCCGCTGGCCTGCTTCGTCTTCGGAGGATGAGTAGTCGGAGTCAGAGTCGCTATTTGCGGGCGGCGGTGTTGCGGGTCTCTTGCGGATGTTGGCTTTGCCCTTTGCGCCGCGCCGCTTGAAGATGGCGACTGGCGCATCTGTTGCTGGGGCGCTGTCGGCCATGCTTGATGGATCCGGGTCTCGATGGCGGGTGTACGTACGTCTGCGTTTGACGATGGATGACAGATTCTGATTTCGTTGGTACAGATTTCCCAGCAAGTCTTTGATGATCCGCAGCTAAGGCTAGGCAATGTCGGTAATTGAGAGAGAAGTTTGGGGTTACCCTTGGTCAACTTTAGCTTTGATAGCGATCATCAACACTCGGGTTCAATAATACCTTCTAGAATGATCAGGTCAAGCCACAGGGCTGACAAATTTCGTGGCTTGCGCGAAAGACCTATACTGCGTATAGAGGGGCAAAACCAATCAGGTGCCTGGACTGATACGGCTTAGCGTTCTGGGGCGGCGCCGAGTTTAGCTGCCAGTCAGGAAAATGGGGAGGCTGGAAGACCAGGGAACGATTGGTCAGAAACAGGAGGGACTAGCACGCAGAAGGTTGCAGGGATGAGCTTCCCAGCTGGGTTAGAGCTGGCTCACGGTGGATGCGAGCTAAGATTGGCCAAAGTTATGCGACCAAAACGAGTTTACCCCAAGGAAACATCTGGGCGCGTCTTCACGGGCATTGTTTTGGAGCGATGCGATATGGCGGTATGGATTGGCGGGGAAGAGACCATAGATGGGCGACGATGGACGGCCGGTGCCTTGCCGATGTCATGCCATGCCATGCCCTGCGATATGACATGACTGATTGCTTGCATGAGCACATGTAACCGTACCAGCTGGGGAGCGGTGTTCTTTGGTGGGGTCGGGATGGATGCTGCTGTTCTTGAGAACTCTCTCACGGTCTCACCCACTGTACTGTCTGCCGTGCGCGTGAGAGAATGCTGCCGTGTTGTTGGAATGGACCGTCTGGATTGGCTACGGATGCGGCTGTAGCAGCGGCAGCCACACAGAGGGTCTCTGTCTGCGAGAGGCAACGACATTGGACGATCGAATGGAGACGCCTCCTAGGTGGTGCATGAAGCCATGGTAAAACAACAAAACAATTTCATGTTGAAGCCACAAGTTGTTTTTGGACTGCAAAGCTGACCTTCTACATGCAGTAGGTAGCTGCCTATCCCAGGTAGCTGACTGAATAAACTCACCTCCTGCATTTGTTTCCGAGGTAGAATGGCAGAGCTCCCATGCTGTGCATTGCCCGCAATCTTGCGCTGATGTCCCCATTTTATCCTCCCTGCAAATGCCGCCCCGGTGGCTTTGCTACGTCTTGATGAAGGGACCCCGGTGGTCTTCGCTAAGGCATGTTGAGATTGAAGGCTTTCAGATGAGTACCTAGAGCTGAGCTGGACAACGATGACGATGATGATGGACAGATGACCAGCCGTCTGCCTGGGTACCTAGGTAGTTGACCCTGCCAAAGGTGGATTTACATAGGACGGGTAGATAGTAGTACGGCAGATCAGTAGTATGGATAGCGCATATACAATGTGAAAGTAAGGTGCGGCTTAAGTCATTGCTAGTGTGATGATGTGTTGTTGAGCTGCTATCAGTTGATGGCTGGCTTGCACGCCACGGCCAGGGTTGAGAGCACATTATCGATAAGCACCCGTTATTCGTAAGGTCCAACAACAAGACCATTATCCACCCAGTCCGCGAACGGATGCAAATGGCACGAATGGAGCAGTCGCAAGGCAAACTGTCAGGTACCCGAAGTTGTGCAGTTGCACAGTCATAGGTGCAGGCATTCTGCAGCTCCACGGTGGAACCCAAAGGACAGCGAGACCTGGCAAGCACCCTGCGTTCTGGACAGGCATGAGGGGTGGAATTGACAGGCACAGGCACAGGCGCAGGAATAGGAATAAAATGGATAGTTGTTGAGATGGGTCTCGTGTGTTGCTATTCCCAGTCAGGAGACGGGGGGAACACAACTCTCGTCTAAACCACACTCCATCTGGGTCCTGGACTCCTGGCCACCTGGTCCAAAATCACTTGTATCCATATATCCGTACACAGTAGTTGTGCACGCATGCCGTAACGCGTGACGGGGGAGAAGCGCATAGCTAGTGGTGAATAACAATGCCCTTGTTGCGCCTACCTTAATCTCATGCTCTACGCAGTACTGTGTACTGTATTGTGGAAGTGTGGATAGTGTAATGAAGGTATGAAGGAACATTTTGAGGATACCTTACCTTACTTCCATGAAGGTGAAAGAGGATCCCCTCGTGCCTTCCTCTTTCCACTTTCCTCCTCCTCTCTTTCGCGACTTTGCCCTTTCCCAAATTAATTACTAACCCCTTCCACGTTCTCTCCCTCCATCCCTCCTCCTCCCTCCCTTTCCCCTCCTCGTCGTCCGTCGTGTGTCTGTCTCTTTCCCTTTGCCGACGCCGACACCCGCCGACCGTCACCTCCGTCCCTCCTTCTTGTGCTTCCATCCGGTCGCGTCACTCTACTCAGACGGGCATCGACCTCGTTGTTCCTTCGCGACCTCGAGTCTCCCATTCAGTTTGGAGCATCGCGCCAGGAGAAAAAGACACAAGACCAGCAACAAATAGCGTCACAGGAAAGAAGAACCTTGTTGCCGAATAAAGACGAGGACGTGATTGTCTATCGCCTTCGTCATCGCGACTTGGACCTCTCTCTTTCTCCTGCTTTCCGTGCTGGTTCGGGGGCATCCCATCCTTCTTTTCACCTTTTTTTTTCGTTCTAATTTACACTGCCTTTTTCTCTATTCAAGCTTTTGTCACTAGTTACTCCCACCTTCCCTACAATCGCCCTAAAAACCGAACAGGTATCTTACCTGCAGCTACCCGACCTTATTCCCTCACTATCTTTCCACTGGGCCAATACCCGTTTCGTTCTTTCTTACCTAGTTTTTGGTCCTTCTCTTCGAGCCTCCCTCCGTCTGCCGCCGCCGCCGCCACCTCCGGGCTCCGCTATACGCCAATCTTCCCGACCGATCGGTTTACGACTTTGCTTCAGCCAATACCAACCGGTGCTACTTTACCTTACCTTACCGTGGGTAGATCTAGCTACCTAAAGAGAGTCAGAGGGGCACCCCCAACGGTCCCATCCCGTCACCTCACTGTTCACCGCCGCGCGTGGTCGCCTCGTATTACCGGCCCGTAATCATCTGCAGAATATCCTCAACTGAGACCTCAGCACTCTTCGAACACGCCAGCTCATTTGCTTTTTCTCCCCTGGCATCCTTCGCCTCTATCCGCCGACACTCACGGGAAACGGCAGACCTTCCCCTAATAATCCCATTGTCTTGTTCTTTGCCGCCGTTTTTTGTTTCTCACTGTCCCTTTCCCCGGACATAGGCCGCTCTTGCACAGCACACAGTCGCACAACACACACCAACAAACCCCGGTCGTTCGTTCCCGTCTCCAAAGCACCAACCGCTTTTAGGTTCTTAAACCTTTTCGCCGTCTGGTTCTTTCTTCTGCCCATCGGATCCTGCGGCTTTCTAAAAAGGTACGTAAAAGTGTCTGTGTGTCGAGAGGGGGATGGGAACAAAAAAAGGGACGAAAAAGAAGAGCGAAAAAATAGGGCCCAAAAAATACAATGCCGACCTGAAGTTCTGGCGCAAGAAAACAAGAGCAACCATAAGGATAGGAAAAGGTGCGGGCGCGCCTAGCTCATCCCACCACCCCGTCCCATCCTCTTAGCTGCATCCCCCGTGCAGATACTCAAAACCAAACAACAAAGCAGACAGGCACTGCCTTGCTTCTACTGGTCGCGTAGCGCATTTTTTCTGCAGGACCTGACCATCGCTCCATAGGACCGTCACACACAACCCGCCAGCGCCTGCGCCTGCGTAAGGAACCTGGGGACCGCATTCCAGTCAACAACACAACAATCCATCGCACCGCAATCGCTGTCCTCTGTCCTTCCCAGGTCAGCTGTGGGAGGGGGAACACAAACAACAAAGCCCCCAGTCAACGTCAACAAAAAACATCACGCACCCCAGTAAACACCACTCTCTTCCACCTACTTCCCTTTGCGACCAGCCCCGACTTGCGCCTTCAATTCCTCGGCTTCCAACTCTTTTTCACCTTCCCTCGTTTATTCCTCTCTTCCTCTTGGGTTTTCTCTCCCACGTCGGTGACGACATCTTCCCCTTCTGCACACGGCAGCCGGCTCTGCACGCCCCGCGCTTGCGTTGCAGCTCATTACCTCAGGTCGCCCTATCCCCCGTTCGGTAGCGGCTATTTCCCTAAGCTTGCTTGACTCGGCCGATAATTGCGACAACACAACTGTCTGTCTACAACCGCACCACCAGCAATCAAGGCCGACAAGACGACAACAACATCGCTGCTCCGCGGATACGTGCACTGGATGTCGCCACAACGCACCTGACGGCGGCATCCCCCATTGTTCCCACCCAACATGGCTACCTCACTCGCCGCCGATAAACCCCATCTGCCGCCCGTTGAAGCGGATATGAACGACCCTTTCGTATCCCCGCCTGGCCCAGCCCACAATCGCTACTCTACCTACGATAGTCAATCCTTCAGCTCATCGCCAGGCCAGGCGAAGCGCGCATTACAAGCACATATTGCAGATACCGAACGACGCCTTGACGAAGCCGGAAAGCTAGGAACCGCACTGGTCCACCAGCGCAAGGAACTTGCAGAACGACTGAAGGAAGTGGAAGAGCAGGAGACAGAAGGCGAACTCGCTCCCGAGTTACGCGCCAAGCTTGCCGATATCGAGAAGGAGTACAACGATGTTGCGCGAGAGACTGCCAGGGCTTTCTTGCCCAAGCAGAGAGTCCCCAGCAATGAAGCCGCTGGAGGTTCACCCTACGTCCCTGACGGAAGAATAGGAAGAGTAAGTCTGAATACAAGTGGCGCATGTCTGTTCCGGCTAACCATGCAACAGCGTTCCGTCAGTCCATCCAAATTTGAGAAGCTCGAGATTCAGGCCACCGGATCGCCTAGTAAGCTCAGTGTCCCGAACCGCAAAGTTAGAAACCAGCCCGCCAATCGCATCCACGATATCGAGTTTGCCGCCGAAATCAGCACATCCTTGATTGCCCAGGTTCGCAACCTCCAATCACTCCTGTCCGAAAAGGATGAGGAGCTTCGCGACATCAAGGTCGACAAGTCCAAACTTGAGATCGAGAACGAGAACTTTCAACAACGTGTTAAGACTCTGGACGAAAGCGAGAATCGATACAAGGACGAGAACTGGAACCTCGAGACTCAGATCCATGACTTGATCGCTTCGCAAAAGGACGCCGCGGATCGGGAGAAGAAGCTCACGCAAAGTCTCAATGTCCTCCAGGCCGAGAAGAACTCGGCGCAGAAGGAGCTTGATGATGCTAAGGTCTCACTTGCCAAGCTCGCCGAGGAGCATGAGCGAGCTGTGAAGCACCTGGACCTCGACTTGACCACCGCAAAGCGAAATGCGGCCACGGCGGAAACCGAGAGAAATGCCTTGCGAAGAAAGGTTGATGACTTGATGAGCCAGAACACGGAGCTCGCCAAGGCCATTTCAGTCCAGCGCGGCCGCATGTCTGATCGCGACTTTGTTCGTGGCGTTAGCGACGAGGACTTTGAGACTGCGACGGACGGATTTACCCCCGAGCACTCACCGCCGCCCTCGCCCATCAAGGGTACTCCTCGCCACGCTATGCTCGAGTCCGAGACTCTCAAGAGCTCTCTGTTGCACGCCCAGCGAACTATTCAGAGCCAAAAGACTGTCATTCACCGTGAGAAGACCGAGAAGCTCGAGCTTAAGCGACTCCTCCAGGACACGCGCGATGAGTTGGAGAAGCTTCGTACTGACGCCGCCCCCGCCCCTGCTCGTCGCACCCGCAAGGTTGAGTCGCGAGAGTTCAAGAAGCCGTCCCGCGGCTTGCTCGGCGGTCACCGTAGCAGCAGGAACGAGGTCTACCAGGACGACAACGAATGGGAAGAGGCCACCGAAATTGGTAGCCCGAGAACTTCACCCACCATTCGCTCCAACTCCACCGTCCGCAGACCCGGCAGCCGACCCGGCAGCAGCTACAGACCCCAATTCACCGACGTCAGTGACGCTTTCGAGACTGCCAACGAGACTAGCGACGCTGCCTTTGAGACTGCCAATGAGCGTGGCACGGAGACGGAGGACTTCCAGACCGGCGTGGAGGACTTCTCTGGAGGCGACGACACCGAGACTGAGACAGAAAGCCCGTCTAAGGGTCGTGAGCTGCGTCCCCAGACTCTTGTAATGGGAGGAGGGCGGAACTCGTACGATAGCACTGCGTCAACCTCAGCCGATGAGGATGAAGAGTACATCGAGTACAGGACGCCAACGTCGCAGTACAACAACCAGCGCATGCGTGTCAGACTTGGACGAGGATTGATGAATCGCCGTTCTAGGCAGGTCAGCGAGGAGCCAAACTTCCAGAGTAGCCCTGCCAGTGCTGCTACAGGCAGCGCTACCGGAACACCACAGCCTACGGAGGGCCAAAGCTTGTTCGCAGAGCTCGGCGAGCTTGAGAACAGTGATGCTGAGAGCATTGAAGAGACACCAAGCCGTGCTAGATCCGCCACCGCCGATTCGACATCCACCCCGGCAGTTCCCACTCTGTCTCACGACTCGGTCAACACCGGCAGCATGACGGACCCTATTAAGAGAGCGGCCGCAGCTTCAAGGCCCTTGATGGTCGACTCTGGTATGATGACAGAGCCCATGATTGAGTCGCCTCCGTTGTCCCCTGTCAGTGTTGTTCACGATGAGAAGGCCGAGTCCTTGGGATCTATGATGGCCGCTGGCCAGGTCGCCCGTCACTTATCCCAAGACGATGCCACAGACGGAGTGCGCTCCAGACCGTTGTCTACGCTGTCGTACAGTGACTCTGGTGCTCAGTACGATCGGGATATGGAGGCTAAGCTGGCACAATTCCCAATGCCGCCATCTAGCCCGCAGCACTTTGTTCTGCCGCCGCCTCCTGAGCTCAGTCTGTCATTCATCGACGCTCAGGATATCGAGCCAATTGTTGAGCCCGTGACGCCACCTCCTGCTCCAGCTCCTTTAACCATGACATCTCTCGTGTCAGAAATCGTTGAGCCCGTTGCAGAGCCTGAGGTTCCGGCTCCTGTTCTGGCATTCACTCCGCTTGTCTCGGAGATCGTCGAGCCGAAGGCTGAACTCCCGATCTTGCCTCCGACCCTGAGTATCTCGACATATCTCTCAGAGGCGGTTGAGCCAGTGGCCGAACCTGAGGTGCCGCCTCCGGCCCTGAGTCTGTCGGCTCTTCATGCCCACAACCTTGAGCCCGTGGCCGAGCCCGAGATTCCCCCACCGACGCTCTCATTATCAGCCCTGCATGCTCATAACCTTGAGCCTGTTGCAGAGCCTGAGACACCACTTCCTGCTCTTAGCCTGTCGGCGCTGCACGCCCACAACTTGGAGCCGGTTGCCGAGCCCGAGGTTCCTCCCCCAGCTCTCAGCCTTTCTGCTTTGCACGCACACAACCTCGAACCCGTTGCGGAGCCCGAGGTCGTGATCCCGGTGCCAGACCTTACCTTGTCGGCCCTCTTGTCCGAGCACATTGAGCCCAAGGAGGAGCCTGAGACGTCCAGATCTCTCGCGGCGATCCCTGCTCCCATCCCCGTGCCAATCTCAGCACCAGCGCCAACCCTCACTCTCTCATCAATTGCGTCCGAGAACGTGGAGCCGCGAGAAGAGCCCGAAGTCCCTGTCGTTGTGCCCACGCTCAGTCTTTCAGCAATCGCCACTGAGCATGTCGAGCCCAAGGCAGAGCCTGAAGTTGTCCCACTGGCGCCAACACTCAGCCTCTCAGCGCTGTACTCTCACAACCTGGAACCTCGAGCAGAGCCCGAGGCGTTGCCTCCTGCTCTCAGCCTGTCGTCCATCGTGGCCGAGGATGTAGAACCCAAGGCCGAGCCCGAGATCATACCGGAGGTACCGGCGCTCTCGTTCTCGTCTATTGCAGCTGAGAACATTGAGCCAAAGGCAGAGCCTGAGGTGGTTGTGCCGGCCCCAGTACTCGGCCTCACTTCGATTTCTTCCGAGAACATCGAGCCCAAGGCCGAGCCTGCGCCAGCTCTTACCATGTCTTCGATCTCATTCGCAAACATTGAGCCTATCGCAGAGCCGGCGGTGTTGCCACCATTGCCCCCAGCCCTCACACTCTCTTCCATCTCATCGGAGAACATTGAGCCCAAGGCAGAGCCTGAGATTCCAGCTCCTCCGCCCGCACTCCTCGCGTACTCGACCATCTCATCTGAGCACGTCGAGCCTCGTGCTGCTCCTCAGCCTGTTCTGGACTTCTCATCGGTGTTATCTCAGCACGTAGAGCCCGCCATGGCGCCAGAAACCGTGGCGCCCAAGCCCAATTTCGGTTTCTCCACGATCGAGTCAATTGAGACGCAGCCCATCTCGCCCAGAAGCCCGAAGCGGGATGCTTTTATTCTTCCCCGCGACATGGATTCGCCATTCGATGAGAAGGATGCGCCAAGGACGCCGTCCAAGAATGCTCTAATGAGCTCCGTCTTTGGTCGGGGAAAGAACAAGGCCTCCGACAGCCTTATTATTGCGGAGGACGACACTCGGCAATCGCCTACCGACGAACGTCTGTCCGAGACTCCCGAGTCTCAGCGGCCGTTCAAGGAGATTTCAACTAACGCCACCGGCCGCCCTGCACCCAAAGTCATCGTTCCCATGTCGGATTCGGGCGCTCAGACTTCCCTGACCGCTGATGCAATCGATGAGATGCTCCTCGCAAAGACCAAGGCCACGTCCGACAAGTCATTGTCGAGCTTCGGCACCCCGAGCACTCCCGGCACCGTTCGCATTCGCCGTCCTTCCCACGACAGCCTCAGCAGTTTCTCCACCGAGAATAAGATGGATACAGCATTCAGAAGGCCAGGAAGTGCCAACAGCAACCTCGCGCCTACTCAACCGCTACCTCCGCTCCCGCCCAATCACAAGGAAGCCATTGAGGCTGCGAGAACTGGATCATCCCATAGTGCGGTTATGGGCCCTCCCTTGTGGCCTGCCTCTGCCATGAGAAACCAGCGACCACAGACTCCCAACGGCGCCGCCAGACCGCAATCCCCGCTGTCGATCTCGACATCAATGAAGGCAACGCCTGTTGCTCGCGGCACGCGCGCTGGTTCAGCGTACGGCACCGCTGAGGTTCACTCGCCGACTAAGTTGTCTACTATGAGCAGACACTCTTCGGTGTCGTCGTTTGTCTCTGAGATTGACCACCGTTTCAACCCTCAGGCTGAGCTGGCTGCCGCAACAGGCTTCGGTCCTAACACCGATCCCCGTATGATCCAGGCCATCACGCAAACCATGATTGGCGAGTACTTATGGAAGTACACCCGCAAGGCCGGCAGGGGAGAAATGTCCGACAACAGACACAGACGCTACTTCTGGGTTCACCCATATACTCGCACTCTGTACTGGAGTGACCGAGACCCGGCCACTGCCGGTCGTTCTGAGCTTCGCGGCAAGAGTGTGCCCATCGAGGCTGTTCGCGTGGTCACTGACGATAACCCAATGCCGCCCGGCCTGCACCGCAAGAGTTTGATCGTCATCTCTCCCGGCAGAACTATCAAGTTTACCTGCACGACTGGCCAGCGCCACGAGACGTGGTTCAACGCTCTGTCGTATCTCCTGCTTCGCACAACCGACGAGGGTCAGTCCGATGTCGAGGAGATGGCCGGTGCCATCACTCAAGCCGATGTAGACGAGTTCAACCCGCAATTTGGCCGTCGCACCAACTCCACGGCTCGTCCCAGGCCGCCTCCGTCTCTGTCATCATACAACTCACGGACAACTCGTAATCAGTCTCCGGCAGTCGACATGTCAATGAACGTGCCTACGCTTACCCCGAACAAGCACTCGATTGCTCAAGCTCAGAGACCCACCATGGCTGGTAGGATTAGTGGCTACTTTGGCACCTTCTCGAGTCTGAGGAGCCGCTCCGCTGCGGCCCCGACCCCAAGTATCTACGAGGCCAGCGAGGTGCACGACAGCGCCGAAGACCTCCGAGAGATTATTGAGAGACAGGATCGGGACGCCGACCGGCTCGAGAACGTGCGCGCCTGCTGCGATGGTGAGTTGTCCTTGAATGTTTGTTGAAACGAATTTACGTTGCTAACCATGACCAGGCAAGCACGATGTTGGTACTCTTCACCACCACCCTAAGAGGGGTCGACCTTCCGGCGCCCATTCTCACTCTCACTCTCACTCCCAATCTGGACCATCAACATCTGCCACACCCATGAGCACCGTAAGGGCGCGATCATAATGTGGCTGCCAACGTTGCCCATGAACATCTGTCTACATGCTGTTGAGCAGTCTATCGTAATATAAACCAATGAAGCATCCTTCAGATCCACTCGCTACGCCAAGAAACTGGCCCGCCTCGTGGGAACACCCTCCCCACTCATGATCAATTCGCTCCCACGCAACGGATCACGACGTCTATGACAACCATCTCCTTGTCGTCTTTGCCTAGGATGCCCTGCCGTCTCGCAAGAGCCCAGGCCCCATTCTCCTTCCGGTTTCGATCTAATCTAGCTTACGACTGCATCCAGGACCCTGGCGTCCTACGACCAAATTTCATTAAACGCGTCCTGCCTCACATGGCCTGTCTCAATTATCAAAACACCATTGCTCGACTACTGCCAGCCAAAATCCGAATACCCCGGATAATTGCTATTTATGCGTTGTCCTGTCCGACTCTGCTTTTCCGCTGTTTTTCTGCCGGGAGCGACCTTGTCATGGTTTTAATTGTTTCATGGCACCGGCGAATTTGGGAAGGAAATTAAAGAATGGGGCCCCCCTCTTCCCTTAAGGGAAGAGAGAACAGAAGCATTGGCGTAGTGTACTACCAGCTGTAATGGAGTCCAGTCTTGCTTCGTCTCCCCTTGTCTCTCTTGTTGGATTGGCCACGGCAGGCAAACAAACATCACCCGAAATGGGAAACCACACACAAAAAAACAGCCCAACTTTTTCTATGTACACCCTTTTCTTCCGGCTTGAGTTTTCTTTGGGAACGTCAAAGTCTCTTTTTTAAATGTTCAGTAGCTCATTTCAGGGGTCAGCCAGGCAAAATGCCTAGCCCGGGGATGGCCCTTTTTGAAGGGTAACCCGGGAGGAGTTTTTGGGGACTATTGTAGATGTAGTTACTTGAATTGCCCTCTTCTTGCCCTGACTTGAGATTGTTCGTTGCCTTGACTTGATGTTGCTCGTTTCCACCCGCCTTGATAGTGACTGTGTGAGGATTGATGTGCGGCCATGTTGCGGGGTAGACGAGACTTTGACGGGGCTGTCTGAGTCCGTTTGACGCGTTCACGGTCAGTGTTGCCCAGCGTCAACGGCGAGGGAGGGAATACGTTTGAATACTCGTACTTTGCGAGGGTCGGTCGTTTGTACGGAAAACCGTCAATTTCCGTCCTGCCTTCCGCTACGACTAATTAAATGTGATGCACACGGGTTAATCGGACTATAATGTGTTGGTCCGTGTCCAGGTGTAACGGGGATCACCCCGTTTTGCACAGATGATTAATCCGGGCGAGGGCGCTTCAATAACCTCCACCACCACCACCACCACCACGAGGGATTATGCCCGAAGTGAGAAAAGCATTGTATTGCATCACCACCAAAACACTGAGATGGAGTGGACATATGGGTATGTGTGTGTGTATGTATGTATGTACGCAATGTATACGGATCAGAGTCTGGTATCCTACACTCTTAGGAAGAAGAAATGTTTCAAACTCCATGATCCGCTTAACCCGGTTCCCTAAACCCCCATTCCATCCCATAATCAATGCCATATGCCCACGCCTAATGTCGTGTTTGCCCAACTCCAGCAAAAATATCCGAAACAAACGCAGATAGACACTCCGCCAAGAATCATTACTTCACCTCGACGCTCGGCCTCCCGTCTACACCGACGACACCCTCATCCTGCTCATCCATCCACGCGGCATAATCGTCGTCGTCCTCGTCGACACCAGAGACATTCACCGACTTAGCCACAATAGAATCGTCAAGCTTTGTCTCCCGACGCTGAGGTAACGGCGGTGGCGTCCTGCTCTTGCTCTCCTCTTCCTCCTCTTCGTTTCCGTGTCCCTTCTTCTCGTCGACAACAACACGATCTCGACCCCTCGTTCTCTCAACCCCAGTGCCCGTATCCCCTTCGCCGTCAGAGACATCCTCGGCCCAGGGCTGAACGTACGCCGGCGGAGGCATGCTCTCCTCCATGGGCGTCGAGGGCTCCGAGTCGAGCGGTGCTTCCACAACCAACAAACTCTCGCCACCGCCGTCCGTGTTCTTGCTCGTGTCCAGATGACGACGCGAAGGCAGGGGCGGAGGCGGCACGGGTCTACGTTCCGACTTCGCCTCCGACGTCGCTGCCGAGTGAGGCCGTTCAGGAAGATTTGGCGGCGCAATGGGCTTGCGCTTCGGCACAGGGATCGTCGTCACCTTGGAGCCTCTCACGGGCGGAGGCAACGGCGTACCCGGTGGAGGCAGAGGCTGACCCCTACCCATCGGCTGGTTGAGGTCGAGCGGGGGATTCTGCTCCGTCGAGGCGCCGTTCTTGGCGTCCTTGTGCTTCTGTATCGCGTTCCAACCCCACTGTCTCGCCGTGACCGCAGCGTTGGCGACGGCAGCAAGCGTCGTGCGCTTTCCCTCGCCGTTTGTTGATGCAGTCGAGTTCGTACTGCCCGTGTTTTCTCTCCGGAAAAGGCCCTTGGATATGGAGCCCGTAGCGCTTCTGACAGAGGCTCTTGAAGACGTGGTGGGTGAGTTCGGGTCAGTCGATTCGTTGTTGCGCATCGACTCCGAAGACGAAGCTGTGCCACGGCGTTCCTTGGCCATTGGCGTACGATCCGTCTCGTTCTCGTTATCTGTGGCTTCGCGCGAGGATGCGGAGGACTGGCTCGGCGCCTTTGCGACGGGTGGTGGTCTGGCGGGTGTCTCGGAGGGCGTCGTGACCGGCGTTGACCTTGCAGACAGCGCTGCCATCATGCTGGATGCATGGTCTGGTGGTGACGAAGAAGGCTTGAACACGTCTGCGTGCGCAGCGTCGGTGCCGACCACGGGGTTTGCTGGACTAGATATCGATGGCGACCTGAACGGCTTAGGTATCGGCGTCGCGGTAGTAGGTGAGCCTATGGCATCAACACTAGTAGAGGAGCTATTCAAAGGACTGTTTGGCCCCTTGTTCTGTATCTTCCTGCCGAACAGGCCCGTCGGCGGTGTGTTCTCGACGATCGGCATACTGTGGCTCTTTTCGATCGGTCTCATATCGCTTTGCACATCGCCCGTCTCTTCGAGGTGATCGACCCCCTCCACATCGCCCTCTCCAGCCACGTTGGTCTCCGCGCTAAGTGAGCTGACAACCGCATCGTCGTCGTCCCAGATTCCGCCCCGCCATTTCTTGTGCTCCGTGTTGAAGAAGGGCATATCATCCCAGAAGGGTTGTACCAGAGTCTCGGCGATAACCTCCTTGATCCGGTTCTCGATCTGTCGTAAAATAATGGTGTATGTAATCTGTCTCGCGCTCACAATCGGCTCGATTGTCATTTCAATCTTTGGCATGCTGTGGAATGACAACCATATTCTGTTACTCGGCGGGGGCTTGATCTTGAATAGCATGTGGCCCTCGAGCTTCTTGATGACCACTGCGAGAACGAGATCGACCTCGCGGACTTTGAAGCGTGCGCCCAAGTCGATGCGGGCTGTAGCGGCAACCTCCATACGGAAATTGCCCGTATACCGCACATCGGCCTCCATTACGCATTCTCCCTCAACATTTAGATCTTTGTGACGCGGGTTTGTGATTATAGGTGCAGACTCGCCGGTGTCGATGCGGCGAATGGCAATGTTGGTGAGAAACGAAGGCCGCTTGACACGGGCAATCTTTTTGGTGAGCTTCTCACGGATGAAGTGCTCGAGGTCCGTCGTCCTGTAAATGCCCAGAAACACACGACCGATCATGGCATTCAACCACCTCGTGGATAGGTGCTCCTCGGATGAGTGCAGCTTCTGGACCAGCGCAATAATGTTCTTGACCTCGAACTGCTTGGGCCTGGGCGCCTTCCTCTCAGCGCCAAAGTTTTGCTCCTGATTACGGAGCATGGCGAAGTAGAAGTCCTCCTTGGCGGAACAATTCTCCGAGAAGAGGTAAAAGGGTTTGGACAGCTGGCTATCCGGTCCGACCTCGGGACCATCTGACCTCCTCGACAAACACAGCGCATTCCTCTTGATGTAAAGCTCGCCTTCTGGTGTGACGTCTCCTCCCGAGTATATGCTAATGTCGTGGTGCAACAGGGAAACCACGTGCCGGACCTCGAGTTGTTCGTCGTCGTCAAAAAGCATCAGGTGCCCATGTCTGTGGCAGGTTAGTCTCCGGAGTGGACGAGCGGTTGCGGACGGAACGCAAGGGAGGTCGCAAACCTCAGTACGACATAGAACACGTTACCAGCGTTCTTGGGGCGCTGGCTCAGCCCGTTCCTGTTATCCAGGGGTCCCGGCGTCGGTTTCCGCTCGAATATGCTCTTGTACATGGTCTGATAAACGCTCTGGCTCGGCGCGGCGACGGTGGTCGAGCCGGTCGGGGTGGACCTCTCGATGGGTTTCGCGTTGATGCCCATGGGAGTGTACTCTCTGCACACGGCAAAGTACCCCGCGGCGACGTCGTTATCCTGCGCCGAGCGCTTCGTGGCCGCCGCTGTAGCATCGTCCTTTGCCGCGGCCTTCACGGCCTCGAGAGCGGTGAGGTCGTCGCCGGGCTGGACGATGGAGCCCGGACCGCCGGCAGCGGTAGCGGCGTCGACAACTGGATCACGACTCGTGTCGGCATCCTGCCGGTAGGGGAGGGTAAAGTAGGCGTGAGCGAAGACGGTGAGGATCACCAAGGGCAGGAAGGTCAGGCCTCCTAGGAGGTAAGTGATGAGGAAGCCGGTCCAGCCCCCCATCGCGCGATTCCCGGAGCTTTTGCCGGTTTGTTTCCCTCTCGCACTTTGTCTGAACTCCTTACTCTTCGCGCGGCACTTGTAGCAGTGCTGCTAACGGAAGGACAGCAGAGGGAGAGAGATAGGCGGGACCATCGGCGCTTAGGTCGTTTACGAGACGAAGAGTGTTCGGGCGGGGGAGGGTCGTATTGGATCGGGAGCTTGTGGCGGCGGCTGGTGTTGGTGTTTGTGGAGAGAGGGAAGCTCTTTGTTTCAGGATGGGCAAGTACACAGTTAATTGAATTTTGGTGTGCTGTTTGGAGGCTCAACTTTTCGGTAACTTTTTTTTTTTGGTGTGTGGTGGACAATAGAAAGTGGACAAGACAGCTCTCGTGGATCTGGGTCTTGGCCACAGGGCGTTTCTGGATCGAGAAAATGGATCAGGTAAGACAATGGAGAGAGATGCAGGTCACTGGGAACCTGTGGGATGGACGTCCAATAAGCCGCTCTGACGCCGTCATGTGATGGTAATGGTAGCTTTGCGGCGTCCCTTGTGAAAGCTGGCAGCAACAGGCGAATGGATGGGACGGAGGGAGAGAGGGTTGCAGCACTACTCAGCAGACCAAATGCTTATGGAAGACAGGAGATGGTTCAGGGCGGATCGAGAGCCAAGGCGACCTAGAAGCTGTTGAAGAGAAAGTATGAAGTGGCCTTACGGTGTGCCTTCGCTTTCCAGATTGCCCGAATGTGGAGAGTGGAAGGTGGAAAGTGAAGCGGTAACCACTAAGCTGAGGGTTCCGAGTGACCCGCAGACCGCTGTTCCCTACCCTCTCCGGGCAAGACTCCAAGACTCCAACTCCCCTGTGGGCTGCTTGTGGCTCTGGCCCCAATCTAAGGTACGGTCGAGCCGGTAATGAGCATCCCTGCACCTCATCTTTCCTAGGTAGCTAACCTTTTACCCCGCGAGAAACAAGGAGAGGGGACCCCTGGCGAACAGTGAGGTCACTAAGCAGCAGTAGCTCATACGAAGTAGCACTGAAAGAGCTCGGCTCTTGGATCGCTTTTCCCCATTTCCTCACCATGTCATCAGTCAGTCAATAAACCGCCATCTCTACCTTTAGTGTATGCGTCCGATAAGTGTGTGCTTGTCTGTCGCTTCTACCGATACTCCATTCTATGTACACCGAATCGGACGGAGCCGTGTCCGTCCAATCCCATCCACCCACCTTACTCAAAACAGTGGCCTGCCCTTGCCGTGACATCATAACCTCCTTATCAATCATTTTTATCTGCGAGAGGGCCGTAGCGCTATACCCGCCCCATCATCTTTAGACCGATCACCGACACCGTCCTTACAGTGTAAGATATCCAGCCTCCATGGTATTATCCAGCCAAACACCCAAAATGACAATGACCAACCCCCCGTGATAAAAGCAGTATATCCGCTCACACTTGTATAAAATCACCACTCCAACGCGGCTCTTCCAGCCTTCGCAACCAACTCCCGAATGACAGGCTCCAGCGCGCTCTTCTCCGTCTTCAGTCGCGCGCTCTGCTTGACCCGCGAGTAAAACACGGGACAGTCCTTGCTGTCGCACGGCACCTCGTCCGCCGCCGGTAGCGCCGAGCAGCTCTGACAAATCCTCACCACGTCCATGTACTTTCTCTCCTCGTCCTTAAGTCGCGTCTGTAGGTTGAATAGCGAACTCGGGGCGTCCTGCTGGCACTTCCCGCACAGCACGCCCTCCACCTGCATCTTGATATTACATGAGATGCACGACGCTGACTTGAGGTACGACTCTAGCGTCTTCTTGCTGCCGAGCCCCCCAGCCGCTCCAAGTGTCTGGTCTACCCGCCGGATTCGCTGCACTTTGGGCATCTCGTCGTACCACTGCCGGACATTGGCGCCAACCAGGTTGAAGATCCTCTCCAGCGGTGGGATTAGATTCTTGGAAATGTAGTACTCCGCGTCCAGCTGCGAGTGCGAGTCGTTGAGCAGGTCTTCGGGCGCTACGCACCGGTCGATCAGACGCGCCCCGGGAGCACCTGTGATAACGACGTACGGCACCCGTTCTCCGTACTGCGGCTCGGCGCGCGCGTCTTCGAGCATCTTCTTGGTGCTGATGAGCGCACCCGGTGGCGGCGGGCCCTTGTCGCTGTATGTGCCGAGCTTCACCTCCCTCGCGTAGCAAAAGTCTTGTACCGAGACGGACCCGCGCATGATCTTTTCGCACTGCTTCTGGAAGTAGGCCTTGACCTCGCTGAGGTTCGCCGTCTCGAAGAGGAGCTTGAGGGCTTTCTCTTCAATCTTTTGCTCCGCCGGCGTCCCGTCACGTCTCACCGTCTCGATGCCTTTGGCGTCGAACTCAGGCGTGACCTGATCCTTGCTCTCGTACTTGTAACCCACGTAGCGCTTCTTCGCCAGGAGAACACACGGGTGATAGACCTTTTCAAACTTGAGCTTGACCGGTCTGGGGTTCATATCGGTGATGGCTTGGGCAATTTCGTTGCCAATGTCGAACGCCTGATCTTTGGTTCGGCCCTTGAGATACACGAACAGACTGTCCGTGTCGCCGTAGACGACTTCCGCTCCCCATTGCTCCTGTGAGTGAATAAACGCAATCGCTCGCTCGAGCGTCTCGCGGCCTGTTTGAACTATACTGTCGGCAATCTCCGAGCAAGGCATACGACCAGAGAAAGATGCTGATGTGTATCCGTAGGTAACGTTGGCCAAAAGCTTCAGGGCCAACTGCCTGTTATTCAGCAGCGCCTGCAGCGTTTTGTCGTCCTTGTCTTGCTTCATCCCGCTCTTGACCATGACACGGGTCTCCAAAATCTCGCCAAGCATCTTTGCGAGGAGAGATTTCCGAATCTCAGGCCGGACGTACATCATTCCATTGGGCGTGATGTTGATGTGATCCTTTAGGAGCTCCAGCAGCCTCTTGTGCCTCTGATACTCGGTGAAACCCATCTTGTTCATCCCCCGCCAATTGACAATCCTGCCTAGGAATGTCGAGTAGCACAGATTATAGGCAATCATGACACTGGGGTACAGACTCTGAAAGTCGAGCACCAACAGCGGGCTATTGTAAAAGTCGCTTTGGGGCTCCATCACCAGCGGGAGACATTCCAATGCGTTTTGGCCGCCGACTTGCTTCCGACTGGGGGAAACTAGCATTAAGTTCTCGGGTTTTGCAATTCTGAACATAATGGACTCGACCTTGAACTGAGAACCGCGGGAGAAGACCGAGAAGAAGTCCACTCCCAACAGTCTGGCTTGCTCACTTGTTCTCGGAATGAGCTCGTTTGACTCCAATATATGAATATCGATCCTCGTTCGTGTGAGGTAATAGCGCGTCAGTTTGTCGAGGTCCCTCTGCCTACTGCTGTTATACCATTGTGTTAGGGTTCTCCAGGAGTAGTGAGGTATGCGGCGGTGCAGAACGTGCCAGATGACATTCTCCATCGTATATTGAAGCAGGTTCAATTCACCCCTCATGGCTCGCCAAATGTTGATCATGTGTCTGCCAGTCACGCGAATCGTCGACGTTGTGTTGAAGCCCCACCGATCATTCTCCTTTCCGATACGGCCGTAAGAGTTACTCTTCATACGTGAAAACTCGTCGCACAGATCATAATCGTACTTTACTCGGGCTCGTTCAATGAGATAGCCCCATGAGCTGCCGTGAACCTCATAGCCTGTAAGGATATCAGGGTCATGATCTCTGACAATTTGCACCATGCGAACCATGACATCGAGCTCGGACGATTCCTCGATAACCTCTGCAGAAACAAAGCGCCGCATCCTCTGTGCGAGAGAACCGTCTGGCGATAGGACAACAACACCGGCGATGATTCCCCCTGAAGCTTCCTGACTACTACTGGCAGTGCCATCTGCCTTGATAGACCAGAATATACACTGGACCTCATCCTCGTCAGGATTAGGAACAAACTTGCCCCTCGTGTTCACGTGAACCTCGAGCGCCATAGTACTCATGTATTGCGCCTCATGCTTGACACTAGTCGACTTTTTCTTGGGCGAGTACTTGAAGCCATGCTTGTTTTTCGGGGTAGGCCCCTCAATCTGGGAGAGGTCGCGCCTTGTAGCTCGAGGGGTGCCCATGATCTTTGCAGTGACATTCTTTTGCTCTTTCAGCACGTGATGCTTCTTATTCCACCAATCTTGAACGTCTTTGGCGCTTGGCGGCGGTTGAGCTATCTCCCAGCTTCGGTATGAACACAAGCTTGCTTGGGCGTCGTAACGCACGTCGTTCTTGGCCTTGTCAATGGGTGTGTCTGATTTGATGCCCATGCTGGCGGCAGATGTCCCAGTTGGATCAAAATCCGCCAAATACGGTAGCGTATTGCTCTCGAGCCGAAATTCCCGACCGGCATACTCCCTGGGACGAGCAGGGACATCCTTCTCTTCGCTGTAGTAGGCATCTTGGTAAATCATATCGGGAATCTGCAGGTCCTCCATTGTTGACGTGATAACTTTTGGAGCAGGAGGCAGGACGCCAATCACGCACTGGCGCTTTGCGGAAAAGGATCCGATCGCTGTCTGTATCCGATGAAGAATTGTTTCTGTTCCTGCTTCGGTCCCTGGTGAATCCGTCGTAGGAGTAGCAATCCGAACCTTTTTTGCTGGAGTGACCGAATCGGGCTTGCTACGTGTCTCCTGCGGTGCTAAACTGAAGGCAACATGTTTTTGAGAATCCTGTTCAGCTTGTTGCGAGGCTCGAGGCTGGTTCATCTGGCTCAGTCGAAGTTTCGTGCCTGGGTCCTCCTGGCTTTTGACTACTGGAAAACCCAATAACTGATTAGCCGCAGATTTAGACCCTGCATTTTGAGACGACCGTGGCTTGTCTTGGGAGTTTGGCGGCAACATCGTGATCTGATGCTTCTCAGAAGCTGCGCTATTACTCAGGATGCCTTTGAGTGACGGTTTGGGCACCACTGCATCGGATGCTGGAGCCACTGAAGTCTCGGTTCTCGGACGTTTAGTAGAAGGCGCTATCGCATGCGGTGATATCGATCGCTTGACCGATACCGTACGCCGGTGACCTAGGCTTGATGGGTCGCTGAGTTTTGACACGAGCCCTTCCTCTTCGGCCATGTCGAGCAGGTCGTCCCAAACCGGTACCATTGGTGGGTTGCCAGTCTTCAACCTGCTGGCACAGACGCCTTCGTATAGAGATCCCAGCCCGTTAACGGTCTTCATGACTTTCAGATCGCCAGCGACGGGCACGCTTCTGGATTTATTACCACTAATGAGTGATCGCCTTCCATCGATACCACTGTCACTGATCTGGCCATCCTGCCTCGCCTTCGGCTCGCCCATCTGAATGAGAGCCTCTTCGTCAGAATCGGCTGGATAAGGGTCGTAATCGTCTACACCGAGATCGAGTACACCCTGTTCGTCGACTTCGATACTGCTCGCTGGATTCTTGTTTGCCGGAGGATGATTTGACGGAAGTCCAAGAGCCGGTAGCAGGTTGACGGGGTACAAATCTTCTACTGACTGGAGCGCGGTCTTGATGGCAGCCTCAAGCGGCGAATGCTCCACAAAGGTCTCAAAGCTTGGTGGCTCGGAGTCCTCCAACCCCTTTTCGGTTTCGATAAGTTTTGCGACTTCTTCTTTGTACTCTTCCTCGTGAATCCATCCTTGTGGTTGCGAGTCGCGCTTATTTGCAGACATGGAGACCAAAACTTCTGCCGGGAAAGGGCTGCTTCCTTGGTCCGCATTGGGCATTTTCATTTTGCGGCGACGCGTCTCGTCTTTCCATAGACCAGCCATACTGTAAACGAGCTTGATATCTGCCGGGAGAGGTTTAACACGCTCAACAAAGTCGTGGTGTAGCCGACGTTCCTTCACCATTCGCCGGTTGGTAATGTGTTGAACGCAAATGTCTACCTCGATAGAGCAGTGGCTGACCCTCGGCAGAGTCAGGTCGTCGAGGACTCGAGTCTTAGGAATCGTCCGGTCATGCCAAAGGTGTTGAGAGTTCCCCTCTTGATCAAATGAAGGGATAGGGCCTCTGAAGTATACATCAGATACATCCAAGTAGCCACATCCGTACAGGTTATAGTCGGTCATGAACTGTAGTAAGTACTGGAGGTGGGCTTCGTAAGGTTGGAACTTCTGCTTAAGAATGACACCCTGTTGGAGCAAGTCGGATAATCTTGTCATGACGATGGGATTGAACATGTAGATCTTCAGAAAGAAGCGGTATCCAACGTGGAAACCGTAAAATGGCACCCCTTTGACAAGGGTGATGCGGGCGACGAACTTTGCATTTTCTCCGAATTGATCACGTCGGTAGCTGACAGCCAAGGCATGATCAATGGAGAGATGAAGTCGATAGATGTACGCGCCCACTTGTAGCAGTTAGCAAGACCCATTGTATGGTTGGAAGACTTACATACCATCCTCGGGCTCTAAGCTGCCACGATACTCGACATAGACGTATGGGAAGGCGCCGTGTATGTGCGCGCAGACTTTCTGCCCCGTTTCTGTAGACCCGAAAACCCTCACGACCGGAACCTTGGGGCCTTTCTTCGCCTGTGCAGGACCGACATCATTCCGTAACTGGGGATCGTAATGCGTCGCCGTCGCCTGGTAGTGGTCTATGCAGTTCAACCGAACGCGGAAGAGGTCCATGGTGGAGGCTGTAAACACTCATGGAGGATGAGATGGTAGGATGGAGAACAATGTCATGATAAGGAAGAGCAGCGGTTGGCTTGGTGCATGGTAAGACGGGTTCAATGTCACTAAGCAGCGAATTCACGACGCGACAAGGTCATGTTGATGCAGGATCCGACGCGTGCTGGGTCAAGAGGAAACGCCCAGGGTCCGCGCAGTCATGTGGCAACACGCGTGACACTTTGCTCCTTCGGTACGCCATCCTGCCTGGCCACCGTCCACTAAAGCAAATGGAAGTGCCTTGATGTGGGGCATTTTCCAGCGTACGAGGTCAGAACACTGAAGTGTCCCGCAGGCTTAAGCACCTTCTACCTCACCATAAGGTCGCCATTCGTCATTTACTCAGCCATGAATTTGCTGGCGGATACACTTGAGACTTTTGATGTTGGATTGATTGCAATGTTCAACCCAAAAAATATAGCGGGCTTATTGAAGAAGGACGAATGGATGAGTGGATGCTTAAACCTAGGCCATTCTGTGTCCATACCTAAGCCATCCATGAGATCTGAGAGCGGCTGCTTACGTAAGGAGTCGCAACGCCTGTGCTTTTCCTGACCCAAATTCGCGACGTGAATGCGCCGTCGCCCGAACATTCTCTGCCAACAACCCTCTCATATCTCACAAATCGCCAAGATGCCGCCGCCGCCACCACCACCAAGAAAGACCGACCCCAAGGCGTCCGCCGCTGCAAAGGAGGAGAATATATACATTCCCTCTTTCATCAGTAAACGTCCCTTTTATGCCGGCGAAGAAGGCGATGATCAGACCGACTACCTTGAGCATCAGCGTATTCAGAAGAAAAACGAGCAGTCACAATGGTACGATCGCGGTCGCAAGGCCGGTCCAGCAGCCACGAAATACCGGAAAGGTGCATGCGAAAACTGCGGCGCAATGACGCACAAAGCCAAAGACTGCCTCAGCCGGCCGAGAGCGAAAGGCGCAAAATGGACCGGCAGGGACATCCAGGCCGACGAGGTCGTTCAGGACGTCAAGCTTGGCTGGGATGCCAAGCGTGATCGCTGGAACGGATACGACCCCAAGGAGTATCGCAACGTCGTCGAGGAGTTCAACGAGATGGAGAAGTTGAGGAAGCAGGCGCTTGCCAAGGGCGAGACAGAGGAGGAAGAACAGGACGATGGCGACAAGTACGCAGAGGAAAACGACATGAGCAAGCATCAAAGCACAGCTACGCGCCAGTTGAGAATACGAGAGGACACGGCAAAGTACCTGGTCAACCTGGACCTGGAATCCGCAAAGTACGACCCAAAGACGAGATCCCTGGTGGACGGCGGAGCAACCGTGGACAAAGCTGCGAATCTCTTTGCAGAGGAAGGTTTCATGCGCGGCTCAGGCGACGCCGGGGAGTTCGAGCAAGCACAGCGATACGCCTGGGAGGCCCAGGAGAAGAGTGGTGACACGACGAAACATTTGCAAGCCAACCCTACGGCCGGAGAGTTTTACAGGAAGAAGGAGAAGGAGGAGGCCGAGAAGAAGCGTGCAGAGCGGGAGAAGAAGCTCAAGGAGCTATACGGCGACAATTCGCAGTACACCATGCCCGACGAGCTAAAGAACGTCATTACCGAGTCGGAGAAATATGTCGAGTACGACGAGAGCGGCCTCATCAAGGGCGCGCCCAAGGTTATCGCCAAGTCCAAGTACCCCGAGGATGTGTACATTCACAACCACACATCTATCTGGGGCAGCTGGTGGTCAAATTTTCAATGGGGCTACGAATGCTGTCACTCGGTGGTCAAGAACAGTTACTGCACTGGTGAGGAGGGCAAGTTGGCATGGGAAGCTTCTGAACGGCAACGTACTGGTGCTTCATTGGCGCTGCAGATGGAGCAACAAGCAGAGATTCCAAAGGCGGATGACACTCCGGTGAACAAGCCGGCGACGAAGCGGACAGCGGAAGAGATGATGGGCGATGTCACTGAGGAAGAGATGGAGGAGTACAGGAGAAAGAGGACAGCGGCGAACGACCCGATGGCCAAGTTCCTGGGCAAGGATGAATTGGTCTAGACTACCTAGGTATGTAGGCATGGCTTATGAGCATTGCATTGGACAAACATGATACCCATTTCCCTGTCAAACGTTCGCATGCAAGACGATGCCTCGAGGTGCCCTGAACTGAACAAGAAAAAGACTTTTGTGTAACATTCATTCGTGGTATCCGTATTTGATGCAATCATTCCATTTTGCCTCTGGCGAACGCCGTGACTATAAACACCCCGATGATCCCAATGGTTGGTATTTGGCTTGCCAACCATTCCCAGAGTTTTTTTGACCAATCCTTAGCATAAATGGCGATGCATTTACTCATCATCCTCCTCGTCGTCACCACCGTCACCCTTGGACTCGGCGGCAGCGGCCTTCTTTCTGCGGACACGGCCGGGGCGGCCACCACCGAAGGGCGAGGTAAGAGCGAAATCGATGTGCTTCTGGGAGTCGAGACGGACGATGAAGGAGGGGACGTTGACGATCTGCTTGCCGACGCGGATGTGACGCTGGCGGATGAGGACACGGGCGTGGTGGATCGACTTGGCGAGACCGAGCTTGTAGACGCAAGTCTGGAGGCGGCGCTCAAGGAAATCCTCGACCTTCAGGGCCAGGACGTAATCGAGCTTCATGCGGGACTCGTCGAGGACACCGACGCGCACGAGACGGCGAATGAGGGCATTGCCTTCGAAGAGACGCTTGGGGTCCTTCTCGTCGAGGGTCAAAAGCTGACTATGAGGGTTGTTAGCCGAAAGGATGCCCCACGCGACCATTTTGCGACGGCCAGAGGCACATACCGGGCAGCACGACGAATCTTGGAGAGGGTAAGCTGGACACGCCAGACCTCACGCTTGTTGCGGAGACCGTACTCGCCAACGAGCTTAAGCTCGGAGTCACTATTATCGTATCGAAGTCAGTGGTGTGATTCACGACTTAAACAGAGCAAGCTCTTGTTCAGTGGCCGGAGAATACTGACAGACGGGCGGCCTCGAAGGGACGGTTGGGGACCTTGGAGGTCTTGGAGTAGGTGAGGCTGTTGCGCGAAATCGGATTAGCATGTTTTATTTGGCGATGCGACTGCGGTTCAGTCTACTTACGGCGCCATCTTGCCGACTCGTCGATATCCTTCGAATTGTGGTTGACGAAGAAAACGAAAAGGAAAAAAAGAAGAGCCTCTCGTGAAACTTGCAACACTCAATGCGAAAAATGGCTGTGGGGAGCGAGGGCTGACTAGCGCCTGTCAAATTGCGGGTTCTGCTCGCCTACGGTCACGTGCAGTGCCCTTTCCACAACGAAAAAAGAATTACGGGACTGAGTCAGCAAAGCACACACACGTCGCCGATTTTTTGCCTTGCCCGTTGTGTCTGGAACTTCGTGATCTTTTTCAAGACCCGACAACACCATCACCAAATTCCGCCCTCTACGACAACCACTCCGGCAAAATGGGTCACCCAGCGGGTCTTCGCGCGGGAACGCGCGTACGTATTACCCAGCTACGAATTATCTCGAGATTGCGGCCGGATTGCTGACGGTTAGCTTGCAGTATGCGTTCAGCAGAAACTTCCGTGAGAAGGGTATGATCAAGCTCTCCACGTACCTTCGCCAGTACAGAGTCGGAGATATCGTCGACATCAAGACCAACGGTGCCGTCCAGAAGGGGTAAGCGAACAACCTGCCCTCGAATCGAATTGCGACAACTGGGAGACTCGAGGTCTTGGCTGGGAGGAATTGCGAAAATGGGTGCAATGCATGCAGGAACAGAGGGCTGACTTGTCGGATTACAGTATGCCTCACAAGGTCTACCACGGCAAGACCGGTGTCATCTACAACGTCACCAAGTCCGCCGTCGGTATCATCATCTACAAGAAGGTGAAGCACCGCTACATCGAGAAGCGCATCAACATCCGCGTCGAGCACATCTCCCCCTCCCGTTCGAGAGACGACTTCATCCGCCGTGTCAAGGAGAACGCCGCCCTGAAGAAGAAGGCACAGGCCGAGGGCAAGGCCCTCACCCTCAAGCGCCTCCCTCTCATGCCCCGTGAGGCCCGTACCGTCGACTTCAAGGAGAACAAGCCCCAGACGGTCACCCCTCTCCCCTACGAGACGACGATTTAGAGTGTCTTTTGGGTGGTTTGTGGGTTCTTCTTTTGCATGTGGTGTTTACGTGAGGAACGGAAGAATTCTAGCATGGAACGGCATCACGTTTTCGGCAACGTCCATAGGGAATGGGAAAAAAAAGACCAATGACACTTCATCGTTCACACCTACACGAGGAAATGCTACCTGTGAGACCCGTTGGCCCTTTTGCGATCCTGCCGCGATGCCTCGGGTCCTGTCATTGTCAGGTCGGAGGCATTGGCACAGGTTCTGGTGTATGGTGTTGTGTGCTCGTGGGAAACAAGGTCAATGCGAAATGCCTGTGAAAGGCAGGCGAATAGTTGGCCCTGCTGCCCGCCGGGCCCTCATGATACCCTCAGTCAAATGAAGAACACGACCTATGATCATTTCTCAAGTGCAACTAAGTCATCGTGAACCGATATGTCGATGGGGTAGGTACACTATCAAGCTTGCGTATGGCCAACTCCCTCAGTGAGTATGAGCTACGGCTGTTCTATGAGCTGCTAGCTAGCACGCCAGTGATGCCAACCTGCTGCTCTCAACATCGACTTATAATAGAGTAAATATTGTGTAATTGAGTCAAGCTCTATACCATTACACTATCCTCATCATCTAGAACAGTCAAAAGCACCGGCTTGTATTTTCGGGTTCATTGCCACTGACACGAGCTTAATAGTTCAGACCTGATACATGTAAGTGCGCTTCTGTGGCTACGTTCCAGAAGCAAAACTATGCCAGTGACCTTTCTTACACACCAGTTGCTATGCACCTACCAATCACTGGATTTCCCCAAGGTTGTTTTTTGATAAATCGTCGAGTTGTCTGACACTAGAGCCATGCAATATTATCCCATCTTTCTCTTGGAAGCCAACGATCATTTGCTGAGAGCGCAGGGACCTTTTGGACCAACTTTGGTGGCATGAACCCCACCATTATCGTCATTGGATTAGATCGGACAGGCATTCGCTTATGGCTTCAGGTGCTTCGCCTACGCTGGAACGCTGGAGGGGTGACACTGACACTGCTACGTCCGCCGGATTAGCGTTGTTCCAGATTTCATGCCCAACCTAAACCAAGTGGAGGATCGCAACGACGACGGCTTGGCGCAATCCCCGGAGCTTGCGCATGTTGTAGAACCCAGCCACACTCGAGCTGCTTTAGACATCTTGGGAGCTTGGTCAACGCTGACGACTCTTTCCCGCCTCTCCCACTTGGCACGGAAGTCGCTCATGATTTCTTCTTTCCCTCCAACTCCTGCGAATTCTTTCCCTCCGGATCTTTCACTGGACTTCACTGCGACTTTTGGGCAGCATTGCGTGCACGTGGAGCTATCTCCTTAAACCGTCGGGAGACGTCATTTCTCGAACCATCCGAAACCCCCATTAAGCGCTCTTCACCTCCGACCACCACCAACGACCCCGCGCGCGAGGAAACGCCCATCATGGCTGCCGTGCCCGATACCAGACATACCAAGTCCGTAATCCTCAATACGCTCAAGACTTTGTGTGGCCCAATCGAGGCTGTCTCCCCGCCTTTGCGACTGTGCACTGACACTCTGTGAAGGACCGACCAGGAGTTGGCGATCAACATCAAGAAGGCCACGAACCCCGACGAGACGGCGCCGAAGCGGAAACATGTGCGCAGCTGCATTGTGTACACATGGGACCACCGGTCTTCCCAGGCCTTCTGGGCCGGGATGAAGGTGTAAGTGAACTGTTGTAAGTCGGGAGATGGGCCGATCGCTGACAGACGGCGCTGCGTTGTAGCCAACCCATTCTTGCCGACGAAGTCCAGACTTTCAAAGCTCTGATTACGGTCCATAAAGTCCTCCAAGAAGGGCACCCGAACACGCTGAGGGAGGCCATGGCGCAGAGAGGTTGGATCGACAGCTTGAACCGCGGCATGGGCGGAGAGGGAGTGCGCGGATACAGCCCTCTGATCCGGGAATACGTTTACTACCTCTTGGCGAAGCTTTCTTTTCACCAGCAGCATCCCGAGTTCAACGGCACCTTCGAATACGAGGAGTATCTCAGTTTAAAGGCCATCAACGATCCCAACGAGGGGTACGAGACAATCACAGATTTGATGACACTGCAAGATAAGATTGAGCAGTTCCAGAAGTTGATCTTCTCACACTTCCGTCACGTTGGAAACAATGAGTGTCGCATTTCCTCTCTTGTGCCCCTCGTGCAGGAGAGCTACGGTATTTACAAGTTTATCACAAGCATGCTTCGCGCCATGCACTCGAGTAAGTTGCATTGGACCCCCTTCCCCTTGGCGGACAAGGGTGATTTCGCTAATCGGGTACAGCCACCGGCGACGTCGAGGCGCTTTCGCCCCTACGAGAACGATACGACGCCCAACATTACCGTCTCGTCAAGTTCTACTACGAGTGCTCGAACCTGCGCTATCTGACCAGCTTGATCACGATCCCAAAGCTGCCACAAGACCCTCCCAACCTGTTGGCGGAGGACGACGAGGCACCTGCACTTCCGGCGCGCCCGAAGCAGGAAATTGAGAGGCGCCCCACTCCACCCCCTGAACCGAAATCACAGGAGCCAGATGATATTTCCGAATTCTGGAAGAACGAGCTGGAGCGCCAGAACCGAGAGTACGAAGAGCAGCAGAGAGTCCTCGAGGAACAACAGCGTCAGCAGATGTTGATGCAGCAACAGGCGCAGCAGCAGGCGCAACGGGACTTTGAGGAGCAGCAGCGGCAGTTGGCGGAGCAGCAGCGCAGGGAGCAGGAGGCCCTGATGCAACAACAAATGCAGTATCAGACCCAGGGTCGGCTTGCAGAGTTGGAACAGGAGAACTTCAATGCGAGAGCCCAGTATGAGCGTGACCAGCTTATGCTCCAGCAATACGACCAGAGAGTCAAGGGTCTGGAGAATGAGCTTGCACAGATCCAGGGACATTACGGCCAGCAAATCACGAGCAAAGATGAGCAAATCAGAGCTCTACAGGAGCAGGTCAACACGTGGCGGACGAAGTATGAAGCGCTCGCAAAGCTGTACTCCCAGCTTCGCCACGAGCACTTGGATCTGCTCCAAAAGTTCAAGTCTGTGCAGCTCAAGGCTGCCTCAGCTCAGGAGGCCATTGAGCGGCGAGAGAAGCTTGAACGCGAGATCAAGACGAAGAACCTCGAGCTCGCTGATATGATCAGAGAGAGGGACCGCGCGCTCCATGACAAGGACCGTCTGCAGGGCGCCAACAAGGATGAGCTCGAAAAGCTTAAGCGAGAGCTCCGCATGGCCCTGGATCGTGCCGACAACATCGAGAGAAGCAAAGGAAACGAGCTCTCAACAATGTTGTCTAAGTACAACCGTGAGATGGCCGATCTCGAGGAGGCCCTGCGACTCAAGTCTCGCGCTCTGGACGACGCCCAGGCCAAGATCAGGAATGGAGACTCTGACCTTGAGCAGCTTCTTCGCGACAAGGAGGAGGAGCTGGAAGTCTACAAGGCTGGCATGGATCAGACACTTATCGAGCTCAACGAGCTGAAGTTGAACCAAGGCGATACCGACACCGTTATCGACGGACAGATTGATGCCTTGATCATGGCCAACCTGGACAAGATCAACGACATCATCGACTCTGTGTTGCAATCCGGTGTGCAGAGAGTAGATGATGCGCTTTACGAGTTGGATTCAACGATGCAGGCCGGAAACCAGAACGCGTCGCCATCCTACGTGCTCTCGCAGATTGAGAAGGCCTCGTCCAGCGCCATGGAGTTTGCTACGGCATTCAATAACTTCATCGCCGACGGGCCCAATGCGACACACGCCGAGCTTATCAAGGCCATCAACGTCTTTGCTGGTGCTCTTGCGGATGTCTGCAGCAACGCCAAGGGTATCACCCGTCTTGCAACCGATGAGAAGAAGAGCGATGCTCTGATGAATGGCACCCGGCAGTCCGCTGCTTCTACCGTCAAGTTCTTCCGTGGCCTTCAGAGCTTCCGCCTGGAGGGCATGGACCCCATCCAGAAGACGGACGTCGTCATCAACAGCAACAACGAGGTGCAGATGAACCTTCAGAAGCTGAACAAGCTCGTCGAGACGTTCGCGCCCAACACTGGCAAGCTCGCGGGCAAGGGCGACTTGGGCGACATTGTCGATTCCGAACTCAGCAAGGCGGCCGATGCCATTGCGGCCGCTGCTGCTCGCCTCGCCAAGCTGAAGAACAAGCCTCGCGAAGGGTATTCTTCCTACGAGCTCAAGGTGCACGACGGCATTCTCGATGCCGCCATGGCCATTACCAACGCCATTGCGCAGCTGATCAAGGCCGCCACGGTAACGCAGCAGGAGATTGTCCAGGCAGGCCGAGGCTCGTCCTCGAGAACTGCCTTCTACAAGAAGAACAACAGATGGACCGAGGGTCTCATTTCAGCCGCCAAGGCCGTGGCGTCCTCCACCAACACCCTGATCGAGACCGCAGACGGCGTCTTGTCAAACCGCAACAGCCCCGAGCAGCTCATTGTGGCATCCAACGATGTGGCAGCCTCCACGGCTCAGCTCGTTGCCGCCAGCAGAGTCAAGGCTGGCTTCATGTCCAAGAGCCAAGAGAACCTCGAGCAGGCCAGCAAGGCTGTGGGTGCTGCATGCAGGGCGCTCGTGCGCCAGGTGCAGAACATGATCAAGGACCGCAACGCGGAGGACGAGGCGGTCGACTACTCCAAGCTCGGCGCCCACGAGTTCAAGGTCCGGGAGATGGAGCAACAGGTACGTTTAATTGATTCGCACATCGTGAACTATGCCAACTGCCGTGTGATGGCGGTGGCCGGAGACAACTCCGTCGCAGCCATCCTCGTCATTTGCGGCTAGTGCCTTGCTTGGCGACCGAGAGAGAAAAGAGAAATGCTGACGCGTGCGGCGCTACCACTTTTAGGTCGAGATTCTGCAGTTGGAGAACTCCCTCTCGGCCGCAAGACACAGGCTAGGAGAGATGCGCAAGATCTCTTACCAGGAGGACTAAGGGGTTGCGACCACGACGACGTGAGCCATAGTAGAGGCAGTCGTTTTTTTTTTACATTCCGCGGCCCGGAGTTGGACTCCGAAGGGAGAGAGAAGGAGAGCGAATCTTTTGTGGATTGCGGGGTCGCCCTCTTCTCCCAGTTCTATCTGGAATCATCATACCTCGGTGTACTTCGGTCGTTTCTTCTTCGCAAAAGGACGGGAGGGGAGGTGTTTGTTTATTATTTGAACATGCTTCTTCATTGAGGATCTGTATCTCCCCCATTCTCGGTAGATTATTCCGGAGTGGGGCGAAGATCTCTTCTCGTGTGAGGTGATGGGAGTATAGGTCATCTGTTTGATACAAATTTTTTGTTGAACCTACCTATCTTGTGCCAGCTGTGTTGAATCTGCTTGAGCGTTTACCCAGGGCGGGACGACTAGCAGATGTGATGATGTTCTGAGGAAACTCCACGGTACATTCAAGCCTCGTTACCTCCCCCCTTAACCCTCAACCCGGTCTCCAGGTCTCCGGATCTATCTCCGGGCCTATTCCCAGATCTAGTCTCTCGTTCAGAAAAAGGTACGTGGTAAGTCAAGCGTGGCTTTTTTTTTTTTTTGGCTTTCCTCACATGGCTATGCGAGGCTTGCACCCCGAATTCCCTACTTATTCCTTCACACATACACACACCCCCCGTGATGGCGTACCCGGACCTGCGACGGATTCAGGGTTCATGCTCCGGACTATCTTTCTTGCACTGGTGCATAAGAATCGGTGGTGCGCGGTTCGCTTGTCGCTAGTAGCGGACCACGCATGGCAAGGCAAGGCTGAAAACGGAAGGAGGGCGAGGGGTGGAAGAGGGACAACAAAACTCCTTCATCCCTTTTTATTTTCTCTCGTCAAGCCCCTCCGTTGGAAGTTGACTAACACTGAAATGAAGCCTAAATGTGTAATCTTTGGACGCCTCTTCTAGGTACACACACCCTAAACTTTCACCCCTCTTCGTGTCCCCTCTTCCCCCTTTTCCCTCTAGATAATCCGGTAGAGGGAACACGTCCGATTGAGTGGCTTTTCTACCTCCTCCACCATGGCCTTGCCTTAGCTAGATTCTGTAAGGAAGGGACCTGGAAACCTGGAAATCTGAGGGCGGGGTTATTCCGGGGGTCGCGAGTGGCTTGAAGCTCCATCGACTATCTACCCTAGGAACATCATCACAACCCGTGAGAAGATGGTTTGCCTGTCAACCCGGTTCTCGAAGACGTGATGAAGCCAAAGCTAACCTGCGAATAGACATTGTTTGGTATCGTGGGCTTCACACTTCACACTTGTGGCGTTCGTGAAGTTCACACCCTCCCTCTGAAGCCCAACCTGCGAAAAGCAACACAGAGAGGATGAGAGGGGAGTAAAAATACAGACGAGTATCTTGAGACGACGGTTGAAGTACCTTTCCCCCTCTTGAAGAAGATCTCAAGCTTCTCTTAGCACGCCCAGCGAGGCTCGTGAATCGGTCCCTGGAATTCGGTTAGCACTGTGGCATTTCTGGAATCATTTTCTTTGCCTCTTGCGAGATTATCGGGAGGATGGTCCGGTTAGAATTTTGGAGAGAATGAAGTATGACGGGGTCATGTTGTCTCCCTCTCATAGTATCATATGAAATGTAAAGTCGTCTTTCACTAGTTGACTTGGAGGTGTTGGAGAAGCTACTCCACGGTGGGGAACCTGGATGGTTTCTCTCCATGTTATCTCAACCTGTATTAGATGTGGTTCATTTAGGCCCGATCTACCCAGGAAAATCTCATGATTCCTTGCTTGGATTTCGTTACAATTTCTCATTTCCTTGGGTCTTCAGAATGGCAATCATGTCAGACTGCATCAGATATCTTAGGCTCGTCGAAAATTTGACATCTAGGCGAATAGATCAAAAATGTAGACACTCATCGGCATCACCGTATCGACTTTGCAACATTCGGGTACGCGTGTTACCCCTTCGTTTTACGTTTTACGCAAGAAAGCCAACAGGCCCTACCCAACAGTCCCGTGAAAGCCGTCCGACCCGCCTGGGCAGCTCTAGCACGCTCCCTAGATCATTCCACCCCGACCCAATCGCGAGCGTTCCAGCTGTCACTGTCTGAAAAGATTCATTAGTGAAGAAAAAACCCCACGACACGCAACGAAACAAGTTGTTCTCCTGCGGTCGAGCTTTACGTTTTGCGTCGATACGGCACGCGGCTTGGTCTTAGTATTTCTCCACGCTAAAGCCGTGTAAGCGAGCCAGCCCAACGACGAGAAGCAAGGTAAGCACCGTAAGGTAGCGCTGGCCCTCTACCCAAATCTCTCAGACACTTGACTCAGGTCTAAGCCGTCCGAGATCCCGCGTTGACTCAGATACTAGAGTTCCCGCGCCGGCAACAAGCCTCCCGCTGCTTCGGAGAGAGGCCCGGCTCCCCGAGATCTGGCGCGGGCTCTCTTCAGGCTTCAAGAGCCAGTCCATCTTCCGAAGGTTCCCGGGGTCTCCGCTGTCCGTCCGAAGTCGAGGCTTTCAACTTCATCAGCGGGGCCCGTGGCTTCGATGGCTTGAGAGGAACGCGCGCTCCCCCCTTCATCGGAACATGCCCACCTAATCACACATCGTCTCCTCTCGTTGCTGCCTTTCGTGGTGTCTTCCAGAAGAAAGAGGATAGCAGGTATCTATATTCTCATCGGACGCTAGGCAGTAAGCAGCAATGCGCTCGTTCTCGACCCCCCCCCCTTACGACGTCTCTCTGCGGATGATCCAGACTGAGAAGAGATGATTCCAGGTCGACCGCACCGACGCTATGAGAACGATCGAGAACCAAAGCATTTTCCTATTCCGTTCATCAAACGTTCACCTAGACTTGGTCCGTCAGGTTACCCCGGGTCTAAAAATATAGGGCAACCTAGGATGACCTAGTTAGTAGTCAGCGAAAGAGGTTTGAGCGTCAAAGCTCGCCTAGCCAGCGAAGTGCGAGAATTCTGGCTCATTTCTTTTGCCTGCAAGAAGGCGCTGTGTTTACAATCAATAATAATTCTCCGTAAAAGGAGCGACTGTAAGGCGAGCATCATCCCTGCTGTGGCCTCTTGAGGACTCGCCCGGTTCGAAATCAGTCGCCCTTGGTCGCCAGGGGAGCAGACTCGGTGAAAGAGCCTTCAAATTGGCGAAAACCCGCTGAAGGCGACCAGGAGGAGATGGCTACCAGGTTCCTGGTGAAGAATGGCTTCTTTTGTTGAGTTAGCGCAAGCTTTGGCGCCTTCATCCTGTTCAAGATTGTGCCATGTTGCCGAGACGCCAAGGTTCAATGAGACGTCATGGTAGTCCCAAAGAAACCGTTTGCCTTGCGTTATTGGCACGGTTTGATGCAAGTCGCGTCGTTTCCTCCCTGGCCGAGACGTCTTGCCTTGCTCCCTTTGATCCCAGTCGCTTAGCCCTGCTCGGAGGCCACGAGATGAAGGTTCGGTCCCGAAGTCGAGCCGGACGAGAGGTGTCCACACAAACAAGGAAGTACAGGTGATGGAGAGCGCCAGGGGGAAGTGATGAAGTGAGCCTGCGAGCAATCCGATTAGGACATATCCTTGAGTTTATGAACGGCGACCAAAAGACTTGGGGCGGGGCAGTCCAGGGGTTGCTCGCAGCCACGTCGAAATTGGCTGTTGGAAGGCTCGGATCGCAGCCTGTCACGAATTCACGATTTTTGTGACAAAAGAGTTGTGCGACCACACGTAAATTATTCCATTCTTCGACCAAGAGCCTCAAAGCGCGGCCGTATAAGTCGCCAATGACACTGCCCACAGAAGGCGCCTGTACCGCACGTATGGCAGCATCTTCGCGCGATAAATTTCCCACGTAACGTAGCCTCGTTCGTGTCCTGAGGGCGGCACAGTAGGCCATGTCGGCTAAGAATAACCAGCTTGTGTACAGCCACATCATCGAACGCGCGCCTAGCGTCAATCTCTTGCCTGTGACTGTCAACTCTTTGCGCTTCCTCATGGGATATTAACTGCTGGCATGCAATAAAGTGATCGACGACTATGCCCCCGTCTTGATTTCCCTACCAGACCAAAGCAGACTGGAACTTCAAATATTCCCTGTCTCGACTGTTGCTCTGCGCCAAGCATCTTACTTTAGGGTTAGAATCGGTGCAGCGAGTAATCTTGTCGATTCCTTCCCGCAACAAACAAAACTTACGCTTCAGATCTGCTCCTCTGGCCTCTACTTCCTTCTTCTAAGTGGTTGATGGTCAACGGCCAAGGACCACTACTATCGACTGCATTCGTATCGGCAACCCTTGCAAGCTAAGAGGCGAACCAGGTAGAACGGAACAGCTGAAGGCCCTCAAAACTTCGATCCAGCCTGTGAAGTTGAAATTCCACTAGGGCAGGGAAGTAGAGAGAACATCAGCCCATAGCCGCGGCGGGATCCCAGTCTGGTAGTGGGGTCCGAGGGCGCTCCAGTCACGCAGCGCATGACTGTCACAGCTCCAGGGCGGCCGCCTATCTTGGCGAGGATAAGTAGTATATGGTCAAGTACCGGGTTCATGACAACTGGGGGCCGTCAATGTGGCTTTCGGTAGGAATGTCAACGCTGACCCTGAGGATGATCCGTCGGACGGAAACCAGGTGCCGCTAGTTGGTCATAAACGTCTTGCGGGATCCGTCGGATGTTATCTGGTGGGGTCCAGGCGAATCTGTTCTTGTTTCCTCCCTGCTTCTCTGCGGGTATTTCCCAGGCGATTCTCTCGCGTATGGTGTCAGTGGTCGTCATGGCGGCTGCCAGGACGGACTATTCTCGCAGATCTTGGGGTCTTCATGCTTGTTCAAGGCGGTGACGGTTTCTTGCTCTCAAGAAGTACAGCATGCTAATCACTGTGTCGAAATTGGATGTATAGGCGAGTTGGAAGAAACGGAATGAGCCGTGTGCATATCTTGGAAGTATCAGTTGACAGTTGCGGTCTAAGCCTTCGTTTTACTCGACAGATGATGTCGGTGTGTGAGGTGGCTTGCCCTGCCGCAATAGAATTGAAAATAAACAGCATACACTTTGATCAATCTGAGGGAGGGTAAACCCGTAAATGACTGCGACTGCCCCCCGTTGCCCGGGATGTGGCTGCAGACTGCGGGATGTCGCAAGCCAGGGCAGGTGGGGGATGCGTACAGATGCCACAAACTGTCTGGATGCCGATGGAGAAGGCTGGACTAATGCCATGTCTCTTTCCATTTCTTTGCTCTCGTCGGTGAATACAAAGCTTGGAAGAGAAGAGAGAGAAAGAAGGGGGAGCAGGGAAGAGGCTAGTAATGCCGCAACCAACTTTACCTTCTTGAGCCAGCATGCGTCGCATGAAGCGAAGGCAGGGATGAACGATAGCACTGCGTTGATGCAGACTGAGCGGACCGCCCGCACATCTTGAGTCCGAGGTGGTGGCTTAACCAAAAGGCGCTTCCTAGTCAACCAACGCTCTCTCTCTCTCTCTCTCTCTCTCTCTCTCTCTCTCTCTCTCTCTCTCCCGCTCGCTCACTTGAAGCGCAGCGCAGCCTTCTCCCTGTCTCGACATCATTGGCGTTGCACGGAACTCGGGTCCATCAAAGTGCTAGATCCAGGCGTCGATCTCGACCAATGCGGGGAGATGTTTGCTGGTGCGGCCATGGAGTATGGCATTGGTGGCTTTGTTCTTGCGGTCAGGTTGTCCTGCATTGGAAGTGGGAGCGATGTGCCCACCACATCAGGCTCGATATGAGTTGCAATACGAGTGAGGCGTGGCAGGTGTGGGTGGTAATTCTCCTAGCGTACTTAGGAATCTGTTCTGCTTCTGCTTCTTTTCCCCTTGTTCCGTGATGATGTGGTGATGTTTTGCGATAGCTCTCCCGCATATTTGAAGGGTGAGACAACAGATTGAGATTCGGGGAAAGAAATGGGGCCCGTGGAACGCAGCAGTGGGCAGTGACGGAGTAGGTGAGTGCCAGATGGGACGATCTGTGCGTCCTTGGCCTTGTACCCACAGACACACAAGGCGGGCAGGAAAGAGTGACAAGGTACCCATGTCCATAACCTGGCTGAGGCTGAGCCAATAGGGTTTAGCCCGGTTGCTAATCTCGACGACCCTCGTCTAATCCCCCAATCATGTAGCCAACTTACCAACGTTTGCTCCTTCTTGCATCTCTCGGTAACCAATCATAATGGCCTACACGAAAACCACCGTTGGAACATCGAGGTCCCTTTGTTGTTTGCTCCCTCCGCCAGCCCTCTTCCAGGCCTCAACCAGCATCACATGGCTTTAGTTTGCTCCGGCTGTCTCCATTGGCGTGTGTGGTCATCGACCTCTCCGCATAATCTGACAGGGGCAGACGCGTGAAGGGTAAGTATGCAAGTACTCTGTCTGAATTCTTTTACCCTTATTCCTCCTTCATGATTCTTGATCAACACGCCTATCCCGAAGTGATCCAGCCACGTGAAATGATGGCAAATGACGCAAGGAAGAGTATGGCCATCACCAAATCCTAGTCTCTGCCTTTGCTCCCCCACCGCCTTTCCATAGCCAGACTGTAGTCCTCTTGCGCCTGGAGAGACGGTCAACCCATCGCTGAAGACCAGCAGCTAGCTCCTTTAGGTCGGCCTCTACTGTTTCAGAAGAATGAAAAAATGGTCGTTTGCCCTTTCCACCTACTTTGAACTCCATCATAGTAGCTCCATTGCAGAGAATGGCCCCCAACTTCCCTTCTTTGCTGTTCTCAATTTGCCTCCCATGCCTAAACACAAACAAATAGAGAGAAAAAAAACAAGCAAGGAAAAATTTCATCGTTCCTTCTTGGCCGTGGCTGAATCATCTCCTGCCTCGTTTGGATTGCCTCTTATATTGGTTTCGTCGAAGTCATAGTTGGCATCGTGCCTCTGGCGGAAAAGCTCGTCGAATGCCTGTTCATCGAATGACAATGTCTGAGGCGAAAGCGTCATGGTTGTGAAAGAGTCGTTCATTGTGAAATTTTCTCCGTGGACGCCCGTGTCGAGTGATTCTTGGGGAGTAAACAGCCCAAGCCCATTGAGATTGTCCGCCGCGGAATGCTGAAGCGCCTCGTGGTATGAGTTACTGTGGAAAGACCCGTTGACAACCAGCGAATCCTCCCGACGTGGATATTCACTAGTGGCGTTTTCCGATGGAAAGCAGATGATGTTTGAGCCATGTGTCGATATTCGCGTAATTCCCCCGTCTTTTTCCACGGGACTCGCGCGCTGTGCCGCTATTGATGGATATGCTGGCGGGCTAGAAAGGAGGGCAGCACTACCCCGAGAAAATTCATCGGCCTGGACGTCGAAAGTGATGTTCTGTTGATCCGTCACCTGGACATCCAATGATGTCGGTTGATAATTGCTTTGATCCTGTAGTAGAGCATTATTGAGATGGTGTTGGTTCTGGCCAATGACGGAAGCTGTCTGGTGGTGATCTGTGTTACGTCGGCTCTGGCATGCTGTTCAAGATCAGCTTTTGAAGAGTCATTTTGCCGATCGCGCGACTCACTCGGATCATAGTGATAGACTGTGCAGTGCTGATAAATTTCTTCTTGATTTGTGACTGCGGAGACGCTGACCAGCGGCATTGGCGCGCGTACCTTTTGCCCCTGAGCATCTCGCACGCAGTAAGCGGCCTGGAATTGGTGAGGCTGACCGACCTCAGAGAGCTCCCAACTCCCGTGCGGATACGTTCCGGCAGATGTGAACATGTCGAGATCATGACGCGGTAAGACTTCGTTCATACCCTGTGTCCTCAAAACAACACGGGATTCCGTCGGCGATGATTCCTCTTTGTGAGACATTGTGCCTTGAAGAAACGGGCACACGGTTGTTGGTGAAGGCGAAGCGGTGAGTGTGGTGAGCAGATAGTGGCGGTAAGTGTGGTGCAAGTGCATGTAGGGATGGCGGGGAGTCTAAAGTACAAAAGAGAATTGATAATAGGGATCTAATAAGAAGATGAGGTCAAAATAGCTTTTTGGGGGCGTGGTGAGAGAAGAAAGAAGAGACAGCACCAGATTGTATAAGCCAAAAATGACCCTTGACCGAATGCAGCGCTCGCGATAACATCTGACGGAGACTTGAGGGGAAAGGTTGGCCCAAACACTGGAGTATCTTGGAGACAAGCGTGACTGGAACACACCAATCCAAGGAGTTATACCTCGCCTAGTAGCCTAAGCCTTATTTAGCTAGCAGAATTTGCACAATGTGGTGCGGCGGGAAATTTTCGAAAAGAGACTACAAGTCAACTGTTGCCTCGTCACTGACAAGTGTCCCATCTCGTCGTCAAAACTTCGTAAAAGCAGTTTGGACAGCTTGTGCAGATCTGGAGCTGTGATACGTTGGCTTACGACTTGATTGAGATGCAGGTACATGTCGTCGAGCACGGGCGATGCCATACTCTCATCCAGGATGCTGATTCTCGAGTAGACGGGCAACCGTTTTGCGTCGAAGCCAGCCTGGCATGGTCCTTGCACTGCCCGCCGCACATATGCTTTCTGCTTGATTCTCAACCGGGCCGTTAGTGTTGCTTCCGCCGTCGAAGGGAATTATACGCGAGAGAAAACGCTGTGTGCGTCGTTGGTTCCTTTCAACTCGTATGCACAGCCCACTAAGCGCGCAGGCGACAGGGACACAAGGCAGTCGTCAGCGTGATAGCGAGTGATCGAGTTGAGCCGTAGACGTGATGCTGAGAAAATGATCACCGAGTCGGCGATCTGAATTGTACAAACACGTACGCCCAAGTAACGTGTGATAGAAAGCTTTGGCTTACTCGCTACATCCCCTCGTGCCCCCAGTGTTGATACAACTGATACATTCCCCAGACTTTTTTGGACCCTTCAGGATGTGGTTTCGGTCCGGCTTCAGCATCATGGTACTCGCGCACGGCTGGAGGATCTCAACGCGGAGGACTCAAAACGATGGTTCTTGACCTCTGGTGTAAGTCAGCAGCAGGTCAAGCATATCCGGGAAGAGGGGATATCCTTGAATAGAGACTGCTGCAGGCATCCGTGAAGTAAGCCAAGGTAGTGGTAGCGAAGGGAGGCTGCAGCTAGCAGTGCCGAGGACGGAGAAGCACAAAGATTCGCCAAGGGACTGTCGGCGGCCGTTGACAAGGTAAGGTAGATGACAGTCGGAGGCTTGATGCGTGGGCTTGCGGTGAGCTAAGGTAGGCCTGGCTTCTGTTGCTTGAGCCAGGTCGAGGTACCTGCATCTTCGGGCCGTAATCCAGACAAAGTACCGTTGTACCAGAGGGGGTCCTCCTAGGTAACTTGGGTACCTGTGGAGAGAGAGAGAGAGAGAGAGAGAGAGAGAGAGAGAGGCGTCTCGAAGGCCACAAGTCTGTACAGTGTGAGAGATACCGTGTCCCAACCCGGGGTCGATCGCGGAAGTCCCCATCTCCAAATTCAAGGTTGGTACAGATGAGTTTGGTGAGGCAGGCATGTTGGTGAGGAAGGTAAGTAGAGTGAGGTAAGGTGAGGTAAGGTAGGGTATGGCAAGTACCTGAGTATTCTCACGCCCCCAGAGCTACCACCCACCCCCCTTCCAAGAGGAGAGACAACCCCGGCAAGTCTAAGGTAGTTTTTGGCCAGACCTAGAGTGGGAAGCAACCATCACACCCACACCCACGTACACCCCCTGCAGCTTTCACCTCCTTCTTCCTCCTCCTCAAGACATCGTCCCACAAAAATTGCTGGGCCTTCCACACCACAACCAACCGTCCTCGGCCAATTCTATAAGGTGACTTCGTCGCTTCCTGAGAGGAAGGTGGCGCTTTCTTCCCCAATTCAGGACTTCCTTCCACCCCCATGGACTACTCCAGATTCATCCTGGCGCGGACCATGTTGTCTCCCTCAAATCTCTCCCGCAATAAGTCCCGGATATCCTCCGTTGCCATCCGCATCCACGTTGGGTCCCGCTTGATCTGATCTCTTATTTATGACCATCGGCACAGCCAGCTTCAAACCAAGATTCTTCCATCACAGCCCAGAAATAAGTCACCACTTTATCAGAACCTTATTTGATTTGTTACTCAATATCTCCAAGAGACACAAGGGCACGCAAGACACCCCCTAACAACCTATTGATACGGCATTCTACCTTACACCGCCATTTACATTCATCATGGCGTTGACATTCAACCCTGGCAACATCGTTGCTCGTGACATTGATCCTACCCAAGTGCACCCCGAGATCCTTAAGATTGTGACAGAGATCTTGGACCTTCGCCTCAACACATTCGAGTCCACCATTGCCGTCTCTGCAAGAGATTACTTTGCTTTTGGAGAGGAGGGCCGGCTCTTCATGGCATTGCAGATGGGGTACGTATCCATTTCTACTTTGTGTCTGTCTTATAATGGCCTTTCATAAGGTCTCTAACATTCATCACAGGCGCATGTTGGGCCAATCTGTCATGTGGGTTAAGGACGGCATGCATTCCAGCGTCGATAGATGGGTTCTTGGGCCTTGTGAGAGGTTCATTGCCGGTCCACACATGATTGTCTCGGTCAACGGTATTGCTGTCGTCGTCCCTCGACCACCACCACAACTCCTCGAAGAAGCACCGGGTGCAACAACCCAGTTTGCCAACGCTCCTGAACGAAGAGTCAAGATCACACGACCTCCCAACGCCTTCATCCTCTACCGCAGCGACTACCAAGCACAAATCAAACAGATGAATCCTCAACTTCAGAACAATGACATCTGTAAGTGCCTAAAGTTTAATAGCCTTGTACCATCTCACTGACCTTTGAAAAGCCGGAATCCTAGGCAAAGCTTGGAACAACGAGTCCCATGAAGTCCGCGAAAGATATAAGGCTCTCGCAAAAGCCTACAAGGAGCGCCACAACAAGATGCACCCTGACTATAGGTACACTCCACGCAAGCCTTCCGAAAAGCGCCGTCGCAACCGGAGAAGCACTTCAGCCTGATCGTCTCCACCACCTCGTTTTTGAGATGGAGCCCAAGGATCGTAGGACCAAGAAGCGGTCCATCACAGCGTCGCTGCATAGGTTCCTACCATGCTAAGTCGCGATGACTGTGCAATAATCTTAGCGACTACAAGTTGCTGCGAAGGAGTACCCTCGTCTGCTGCTTTAGGCCGAATGTCCCTCTCCTTCCCTCAAAGCCATATCCCAGCTCGCGCCGAGGAAGTCAAAAAAACACCAACACCAGATGTTCGGGCCAGGACTAAGCAGACATGCCGTGGTCAGCTGAAGCAAAAGAAACGTCTTCTGCTACCTTATGGGCCTGTCAAGACCAGGAAAGGCTCAACTTTGTGTAAGGCTCCGGAGCCGCTTCGTGCGATTTCATCAGCTCTACTCACAAGATGGGCGTATTCCGGACGCATCATCGAGCGGGGGCGGTGGCGGCGCTCTTGATGGAGTTCATGCAAAGAGTGCGCAACTTCAATAAGAGCAAGACACGAAAGGATGGAGCAATCCGCGTTGTCGCTGCCAAAGAATCGGATGTCTATCTCTGCCATGATACGAAGATGAGCTAGCACAATAGCGATATAGATTGTTTGATAGATTTACTCAAACAATAATTGAATCATAATGTTCATGTCTCATTACTTTAATCATCTTCTTCTGCACGACTAAAGTACCTAGCTGTCTATTTTCGACGGTAATGTGTGCAACTCGTCACATGCCATCCGCCGAGTTCCGCGTGCCTCTATATCGCCCCTTGGAATGTATAAACTACGACGCCTGAGACTGGCTTTTTTTCCAATCACTGCTCCATATGAAAGTACCGCATCTCCACTCCGTCCCCTTTTCCTTTTCTCCGGATTTCCCCAGAGGACGAGCGCAAATGAAGAAAGACCTGCCTATGCGGATCATCAGCTATGAATGGGGAAGGGGGCCAGAAAGGTCGGGATATGTCGGGGAAGAGGGAGAGGAGGGTAGGACAGGGCCTCGGTGGGCGCATAAAGGAGCGCAAGAAGGGGTTAAGGCGTATGTATGTGTGGCGTGTGGTGTGGCCGGGTTGGATTGTAGTTGGGTGTTTAGACTTACCGCAGTTGACGCCCGGTTTCTTGGTCTGGAAGCTGATGCAGGGCTCCCCGTGCTCGCACTTTGGCACGACTCTCTTCCCCAGGTTGAACTTTGACCAAGACTCCTTGACCTCGATGGGGTCAAAGACCTTTTCCGAGGTCGTCGTCTCGAACGGCTTCGGGGAGAATGAAGGAAACGTGGGGTCTTTGCCGCCACCGTTGCTGCCGGGCTGTTCTACCGTGCCCGCCCCTTCTGATAGTCCCGAGAGGGAACGCATTGGGCCAGCAGCAGCAGTAACGCCACTTGCGGCTTTGTTCTTGGTGATGGGCGATGGTGGATGATTGGTTCTCGCCGCGTCTGCTTCGGCGAGTGAAGACTGGGTTGGTGGTAGTTGTGGCGGGTTCTTTGGCTTGAAGAAGCCCATGAGGGTGCTCTGGGCCTTACCGTCGGATTCGCTGGTTTTCGACTTCTTGGGGGCTCGTTTAGCAGATGCTGCCGATTCGGCTGGTCGTTTTACGAGCGGGTTGGTGCTTTGTGACGAAGAGGGGATCGACTTGGGGGGTGGTAACCTTCCGGTATTGGACTGCATGGATGCCTGTGAGGCGGCGGGCGCATCTTCGGTCGTCGTCGTTGCCTGCGAGGCTTCCGGGTCTTGCGTCTCCTGAGTCGTCACGGGGTAGTCGCCATCGTCTTCGGTTGGAAGACTGTGTGACTCGAGGTGAATTGGTACGGGGCTTTGTGCTGGTTTTGGGGCGGGCTTCTTCATAAACATGTCGCGGATGTTGCGTCTTCGGTCGAACTCGGGGATGAGCTTTGCGGATAGGGGGAGTAGGTCCTTTTGTGACCATTCCCTGAGCCGCTGGCCGTCCTGGAACATACCGCTGGGGTTCATCACGTCGAGGACGGGTGATTTCTTGCCGTCTGTTGTCACGACGTCATTCATGACTGCGAATACGGGGCAGTGGTCAGATCCCATCAACCCCTCCTGAATGTTGGAATCGGTGAACCAGTCCTTGATGCCCGACGAACATAGGATATAGTCTATCCGGCTGCCGTTGTTCGCCGGGCGAGTATTCCTCTTTGTGTCCCAACAAGTGAACATGCTTTGCCGGGTGGGGTGGAAGATGCGGGTCAGGTCATGGAGGACGGGCGTCTCCTTTCCTTCATCGCGTTCGCCGACGACCTGGCCACCGACGAGGAGCTGGTTGATGAACCGCCGGCTTGGCCCCTGCATCCACTCCTCGACAGTCATGCCCTCCTTGCGGAGCGTCTCCCTGAGGTTGCAAGTGTCCATCTCCTCGCGGATGACGTTGAGGTCACCCGTCAAGATGACCTGTTTCCCAGCCGCGACGAGGTTCCTCACGCGGGCGTCAAGGGCGCCGAGGTAACCCAGCCGGAAGTCGTCGCGAGACGAGTCGCGGGTCGCGGGGCTGTAGGTGCCGATGAGCACAAAGGCCGGGAACTCGAGGATGACGCAACGGCCTTCCGAGTCGAGCGTCGCCTCGTCTACTTCGCTAGAGAGCTGGCTCGCGCGCGGGTAACCGCCGATCTGCTGGTCTTCCGGCAGGTCACGGAAGCTGGTGGTTGAGTTTGGGGCTGGGAGGACGCCTGTGATACCTTCTTCGGCACGGATGGGGCAGCATGTTGCGTTCCGGGTGTATATCGCGACACCGGAATATCCTGAGGCGAGAAGTGAGAAACATACCGAGGGACGATGACTGTTGTGGGCTTACCCTTTTTGTATTTAGGGAGGCTGAAAAATACATCCCAGCCAGGGACTAGTACCATATCATCTTTGAGGTCTTTGCGCTGGATTTTCGTCTCTTGCATGACAACGATGTCCGCCTCGAGGGTTTCGAACATTGCCTGTAAGCCATGGTCAGGAATAGTGGGAATCCGCGAGTAAAGAGGATCACGGACCTGAAATGTTCGTTGTATGCTCCATGGTTGATATCCAAATGGATTCCTTGCTAGTGTCAATTGAAGTGCATGGATATCCTCAGTTGAAGTTGACATACCTGATGCCGTTGACTGTGGCACAGCGGTCGTGAGTGAGCGGGAGCGTCTGTTAAATGCTAGTGGCCCAACTCACCATTCCATGTCACAATACGCAACCCCATCCTGGCCGGTAATTCGATTGCTCCTGGTATCACGATTGAGGAAGACTCGAAATCACAAACGCCGAAATCACGTCGCTTTCATGCCCATGCCAGAGATGTCAAAGGTTAAGTTGCTGCATGAAACCCAGAGGTTCAAGTGCTATCTTCGTCTCCAATTGTGTGAATGGATGACTGGGGGATCAAGATTGCGAGTGGAATTTCAAAAGAATCAAGATGCATGAGAACCGACGCTGGGACGCCTCAATTAAACTGTTAAGACCTGGTCAACGCGACGTAGCTGCCGTCATTGAAGTGGTGAACGCGACGGTCTGCGCGATGTCCCGTGATTGCCTACGCACGTGACCGAGTACGACATCCTGCAAGTCACTGCAACTTCTTGGGCGCAACATATATTACTCCATCTCCATGATGTATTGCTCAACGTGAATGAAAATTTACAATTATTGCAATAATTCTTTTACTGATCATTCAATGTGAAGAAATCAGGTACTTGAGTCTAAGTCAGGAAGGTAAGCCGAGACGAGCATCTGGTGTTGGTTCAAGTACGTACCGAACCCGGGCCCTCCCTTCCTGCTTTCTCCGCAAATGACCTGACATCATTTAGTCATCCCCAAAGACCTTCTTGAAGCCTAACAATCCAGGCACTTCCAAGGCCGTGAATGTTCCCGCTAGCCGAGCTCTGGATAGAGAATGACCTGATCCTCCGACATTCGACTTCACAAAACCTCGAAATCCACCACCAACGCCCACCCGGCCGAATCGAAACCTCTCCCCTCCACCAGTATCTTCAAAACACAACAATGCAGCGTCAGCTCCTCTCCGCCGCCGCCCGCGCCGCCCGCGCCCCGGCCGTCCGCTCCACCGTCCAGCGCCGCTTCGCCAGCACCACCGAGAACGCCTTCATCAAGGAGCGTGAGGCTGCCAAGCATCACGCCGCGCAAACTACCGGTTCGTTCTCTCCGCCCTATTCGAGTCCGATATACTTCAATGTTTCGAGTTTTGGGAGCCAATTGGGCTCAATTGACCCCTCGAGCGGCGAAGGGAGGACCTGGACCGGATACAACATGGAGGGAAAAACATGAGATGCTAACACATTGAGTAGGCCTCTGGCGCAAGATCTCCATCTAGTATGCACACCACCCCTCCATAATTCTCAGTCGAGGTCTCCTCGAGCACCGAACCTGTCGTCCCGCTCGATATCTGCCCAGCCATCTCAGCCAATGCCGCTATAACTGAGTATCACGCAGCAGCCGGAAAAGAGCGCGGGATTTGATTCGGGAACTGCTGGGGAGCCATGGGACACTGATATCAAGAGTGCAAATGCTAACTCGACGCTCTTCACTTTCCACAGCGCCTGCATCCCCGCCCTCGGCCTCGCTGCCGCCAACGCCTACGTCCTCTGGAACGAGCACTGGGACCACTGGAGCCACATGCCCCCTCTGGAGGAGCGCGTCGAGTACTCTTACCAGAACATCCGCACCAAGAACTACCAATGGGGCAACGGTGACAAGACCATCTTGTATGTTTTCTCGGAGCCGGGCATGAAATTGAATTCGTTGAACAGACTAACACTCAAAACAGCTGGAACGACAACGTCAACTACCACAACCCCGACAAGGCTTAAACTAAGCCCGTCTAGTATGAACGTGATATCGCTGAATTCAGGAGACGAAGGAGCGATCCATAGACTCGGGGTGTGACACGCCTGCTGAGGGGGTAGACTATCCTGTACATTTTCCCTATGTCACAACAATCGAGAGATGCGGCCTTTTTTAAAAAGTTCAGGAGCGCCACCGTGAAGGGTATTGATGTCTTGTGCTACGTGAATATGCGGCTCATCGTACTCCCCTCCAGATATGGCGGGGGGTGCTAAGATGTTATATCGCAAGCGCTGCCGCCTCCTTTCGCAGAGCCACATACGCAGCCGCATAATCTGCCGCCAACACCTTATCCCCCGCAACCTTCATGACGGTCGCCTTCTTGGCCATCATCTCACACTGCCTCGTAATATCCTCAATGCTCGAATAATGATCGAACGCCTTTTGTATGGCACCCGTAGCCCGGGTCAGGTACTCCCGCCTCTTGGCCGACTGCGGCGCCATCGTCCCCGCGATGCCCATGTTGGCGTCGGCAAGGTACGAGTACAGCTGCCCGCTCAGCGCCGCGGAATCACACTCGAGGCTCCGCGGCAGGACGGCCGTGAGGAGCTGCACCGAGGCTTCGAACTCGCCCAGCGACGTCAGGATATTCGCAATGGCGCCGATGGCCTGCCACAGGCAGGACACCAGTCTCGCCCTCCACGCCATGCTCGCCGCGCGCATCGCGATCGTGAAGCCCCGCTGCGGACGGCCGCACTTGTCGTACAGGTGGACCTTGATGAGCATGAGCCGCACGCGGAGCGAAATGTCTCTCTTATCGTCGCGAATCGCCGCCAGCATGTCTTCGACCTTGTTGAAAGCCGCCTGTAGGTCGCCTCGCCGTGTGAGGCAGTCAATGTGGAGGAAGTCGACGACGAAGGCCATATCCGGTTCCAAGTCATCTTTTTTTGACTGCAAGAGCTGCGAGAGAAGCTGTTCTGCGCCGTCGAGGTTGTTATGGTGCAGGTCCCGCTTCAGCTTGATAATGCCCCGGTATTTGTACCAGTATTGGCTCGGTTTCCATGATCGCAGGGCATTCTCGTCGAGGGCCTCTAGTTTCTGCAACGCCTCATCAAACTTGCCTCTCGCAGCGAGCTGCGATGCCAAACGAGATGTGACCTTGAGCTCGTCGTCGAATATTGAATGTCTCGCGTGACACCGTAAGAAAATCTCACAGTCCATGGCCGAGAGCTGCGACAGCCCCAGCCTATCCCACAGAGCAATCAGGATGGAGAGCTGGGCGCCGAACATATTCTTCATGTTTCGCTCGACGATGAGGTGGGAGCTGCGGACCACGAGTTCGACCGATGTCGCCACGCTCTCGCCGTTAGCGAGGCCGAGCTTCGCCTCGCTGAGCAGCACCGAGGCCCACAACGTCCACATGCCCGTCTCTTTTGCCTTGACCCGTAGGTAGGAAAGACTCTCCTTAGCCGTGCCGAGTAGGCTGTCTGCCTCCAGATCTCTCACAAGGTCCGGATGGGCTCTGCCAAAATGGAATAGCCAGCTAAGTGCAAAGTTTAGACAGGTCATGTCGCGGTTCTCGCGGGCCGTTGATACGGTTTCGAGCATGGCTGCGACAGCTTCTCTGTAGCACCCAAAGTCTGCTTGCAAAACTGCCAGGTTCATCAAGGCGTATTGATAGAATAGTCTGTCTCGGTTCTGCATCGTGTAGTCAAAGTATTGATGGAGAAAATCGAATGCTGTAGGATAGTCGCCCGATCTCCAGGCATCAAGGAAACTGTAGAGTTTTAAAAGGGTATTCCCCAATAACGAATGAAGTAACTTGCCTCAGATAATGCCTCAAGCTAGGCACGAGAAAACTGTCGCCTAGAAGGTCATGGAACTGGTTCCTCAGTTCTAATGGTATTCGGTTGCCGAATTCTTCTCTCGTCAGCCTTGAATCCAAAAGACCTGGAGAGATTTACTCACTCTGCATCTGCTCGATCTGGAACTCCAGTAAGAGCTCAATGTCGTCTGTGCTTACCGGCACAGCAGCAGGAGTACCGTTCCTCACCATATCGCCATAGACGACAGACGTGAGCGCCGCAACACCTTCCAAGTCCCACTCCGACTGCTCGCCTGTCATGAGAACATTATCGAAGCTAAGCCGGCCAAAGGAAGGGTTCCTCTTCCGGAGGTACCCCGCCGTAGGCTGCCGATACTGCACAAAATCCGTCCAGAGCTGCGTCGCGTCGTGGAAAAGCAGCCTCGTGAACTCGAGCTGGCACCGCCGCACAAACTGACCCAGCGGCGAGTTTCTCGACAGCGTGATCCCGTGCTTCTGCTGCTGCTCCTGCAACAACTGTGCGGCAATGGTCTCGTCACCACCCGCCGCCCGCAGCAGCTCTTCTTTCGTCTTGGCCAGGCACTGCGACTGGCGCGCGAAGAAGTCGTGGAGGAGGTCGAGAGAATTGATCCCCCATAGCTTGGCGAGGAACGTGTCCCAGAGCTTCCGCCCCGGCAGGCCGACGACAACGGAGTGGGCGCTCAGGAGCTTTTCAAAGTCCTTAATGCCGATGACGAGGCTGACGGTGCTCTCGGCTTTCCTCCAGCGCGTGTCCTTGCTGGCGGTATTGGTGAAAGACTGAGGGTCCGGGTCGAGCAGATGTGACGTGATGAAGGAGAGCACGGGGATGATTGCCGTGGCGGGGACATGTTCGTCCGTGTACAGCTCGATGAGAGCGAGGAGGCCAATCTTGGCAGGCGTAAGGTATCGAGCCATTGTGGACTTTGCTCCCGAAAGATACGCAGCTTCATCAGATATTTAGGCCCAATAAAGTTGGCTTGCCCGGAAGCTCATCGGATGGCGTGAACGGTGAACCCGTGAGCGTCGCGGTTGACCATGTCACTTGAGCTAGGTGAGGTGAAGCAGCACGGCGCGTCGCGCCTACGTCAAGTAAAGGTCCCGTAGCAACCGAAAATCAACCAGAAGATGTCAGACGGGGGAGGAGTGATTTTAAAGCACGAAAACAATGTCTGAAATCTTGGCGGCTAGAGCTCTTCCGTTTGTTAGTCTCGATGTTGTCAGTGAGGTTTCTGTGATGTTGGGCGTCCCCACAGAAGCCAGTGAGAAATGTGATTGGCCACCAATGTTTGAATAGACCAAGAACGTGTCTCGCGACTACCTCCATTACACACATCGCTATCGAGTATTATACGTCGAAGTAGTAATTTCTCTCATAGGAAGACGGCTTATTCTAATTGAATGGCAAATATTCAAAAAATACACCAGCGCTTCACCGAATAAGACTTTTTCTGAAGTGCTACGTTGGACGATGTCATCTCTTCCCCGAAGCATTCCATCTTCAATGGTTCTTGACATGATGCATTACATTTGTACGTTATCTTACAGATATTGCTACAATATTTGATGATTTGCTGAGATCTTCGGCCGGGCTGGCTGCTGAATTCAGATTTCCTCCCAAGCCAGAATGTGCCCTCTAGCGAACCTGCTCTGTTCAGGAGCTTGTGATGCATTCCCAGACCGGCACTCCCGATATCGAAGTCGGCATCCGTTTAAAGACTCTCCGAATTTCTCACGTTTCCTTCCAACGAACGCTCTCCCCCTGCCGATTCCTCAACTCGCTCTCCCGCGCCTCTCTCGCCTCCTGCGCAGCCAAAATATCACTCCCACTGCCCCCATCAACCTCATCAACGTCATTCGTCGCCCAAATTCTCTCAATACAAAGCTCAAACGGTCCCGGCACCCGATCCGTAAGTCCCACGCCCACCGTCGTGACCTTGGACCGCAGCATCTCCGTCTGCGGCTCAATGACGAAGCCATGATTCGTCCTTACGAACTCGTTCCACTTGACAAACACCGTCTCCCACTCCCCAGGCCGCTTTGCGAACAGCCTGTGCTGGTGCAGGTCCGTCGGTACCACCGAATCCGTCTGCAGGTTGATAAAGTAGCTCCGGCCGTCCGATTTGACGCGCATCGCGAGGTAGGAGTACGGGTCAATGTCCCAGACGGCCTTGCCGAAGAGCGTGGGCTTCTGGTCTGGCGTCCGCCATGCCGCGAAACCTGTGCGTTGGATTTTCGGGTCGTTTTTGGGGAGGTCTGTTGATATTGTGCCGTGGAAGCGGGCGTGGCCTGCGCTTGTCGTCGGTGTGCTTTGTGGTGATGTTGTCGTCACTGTTGAGGAAGGGGAGGAGGACACCCAGTCGAGGGCGCTGTGGGAGAAGCCGCCAATTTCTTGGTCGGACAAGAGTTTGCAGTCGTCGGTCGAGCCCGGTGCGCGGAAGTCTTGGAGGATGTAGGGACCCGAGGGGCCCTTGATGCCTTCGGCTTTTGCGACTGCGCAATGTTGCGTTAGCTTTCTTGACATGTACGATCCTGGTAAGAAATGGTGGCCTACCAATACTTGCGCGACGCTTAAATTCGTCCATTGTTCGGGAGAATATGCCCTTGGCCATCAGCGAGGGCGTCGCGCGCATCTTTGCGGTCGTTTCGCCGGCGCCGCCGACAGGTTCGCCTTCTAGGTGATTTTTCGGCTGTTCGGGTTCGAGGCTCGCTCGCGCGATGCGCCCGTGGTGCTGTCGAGTCTGTGGTTGACGGTTGGCAATCGACCTTTGTGCCTCTCTGCGTGTCCTCTTTTGGCAAGAAATTTGGCGAGTTCAGCTCTCCAGTTACGATCTTCAACCTTTGCTCAGATTAATATCCCTGGCTGCTTGCCTTGGAGCTTTCGGCATCAATGTAAGGTACATGGGTACAACGAGCTCCAGCTTCCACGCGGGGGAAAGAAAGACCGTGTTCCGCCTTTAACGACATCCCGTCTCGTCGGAGTCCATACCACTCCCTACAGCAACAGCAATTTGTTTGAAGACATTACAGTTCAAGTCGTGTCATGGAAAATGCGTAAATTTGTTCAGGGTAACATTAATATTTTCTTTCAGTCTGATTCCGTCAATTCATTATACTGCTGAGCTTGAAATGGCCTCGGACCTTTAACAGGCCGATTCCCAGAGAACCCCCGTTCTGTCTGTAAACCTTCAGCAGACTGAGAGAGCATGATCACGCGCCAGCATCACTAAGGCCGTTTTCGGACAGGGCTATTAATATGCACCGTGCCTATAAGAATGGTATTGCGTTCAATGTATCGCAATCACATGCCAAGTGGGAGGCTCAAAATGGTCTACTCAAGCGTGCATTCCTGACTGATCTATCCGTAAAGGTAGCGAGTGTCCTTACACCTCGAGTAGACAACGGTGCTTTCTGCACAAAACCCAAGTTCATCTATGATCCCCAATCCCTATTCGCTATAACCGAGTCATCCCGATCATTCGAGTGCAAGACCAAGGTCCTGGCATATCTGAACCCCTCCAATGCTTTCAAGTTCCCACCGTATCTGAAGAAAAAAACCACCAAACTTTTGTTGAAGAGGAAAATCTTGTAGTAAAACACAAGATTCGAAGAAGGGTAAACACACTATTTGGAACCCTAGAAGGATTCGAAAGGAAGATTTGGAATGAACCAAGAGAGGTCTGGAGACTAGTTGGAACGGTCGGAACCGTCAGTGACGAAAGCCTGGTTGACATCAGTCATGGCAGGCTCAGACTGCATCAGACCAGTGAAGGGCATCTGAGAGTGTTGAGCCGGGGAAGAGTGCGGCGCGAAATCGCGAGTGAACGGAGTCCAGAGAGGAGTGCCGTGGCCGTAGCCCCAGAAGCCAACGGGAGACTGCTGAACAGGGGTCTGGACGGGGCCACCCTGAGCGTAGTACGGCATGCCATTGTTGTTGTTGTGCATAGGAGTTCCCATCTGAGAAGGAAGGGGGGGAGGAGCCATGGGGTACTGGACCTGAGTCTGCTGCATGGGCATTCCCTGGACCATGGGCTGGCTGATGTGTTGACCCATGGGCTGCGCATTCATGGGAGCCTGCTGAATCGCCTGCTGGTTCATGTTGTGACCCATGGGCTGCGTATTCATGGGAGACTGCTGAGCCATCCGGTTGCTCATCTGCTGGCTCATAGGCTGCATGTGCATAGGAGAGTGCATGGCGGGCTGAACCTGCTGCATCGGGCCAGACTGCATCTGCATCTGCGGAACCATCTGGTTGTTCAAGGGCTGCTGAGTCTGGGTCTGCATGCCCTGGTTGATGTTGATCTGGGGGTGCATCTGAGTCTGAGTCTGGATGCTCTGCATGTTCTGCTGCGTGGTCTGCTGCATATTCTGCTGCGGGGTCTGCTGCGTGGTCTGCTGAGTGCTCTGCTGCATGCAATTGTCATTCTGCAGAGCCTGCATAGACTGCGTGCCAACCATCAGGCCATGTCCGGGGTTAAGAGGATAGCCAGTGGGCATGACAGTAAGCGTGCCCTGGGCAGCCTCGGAGGAGGGAGCAGCCTCGATGGCCAGGCTGGTAAGGCGCTGCTGAAGATGGCTAACACGAGCAGGAGTAGAAGCGACATTGCCATGGTAGCTGTTGCTCTGAAAGGCGCGGTTGCTGCCGCCGCCGTTGAAGCCGCCGTAGCGACGACGTCTATCCATACGCTGTTGAACGCGGATGATGTGGTCCTCGACGAGGGAGTCATTCTATTGAGCATGTCAGCTTGAAGGCTCTTCAAACTTGAACCAGGTAAAACTTACGAAACGCTCAATGGCAGACCGGGCATAGCTGACGTTGGTGAACTCAACAAACGCAATTTGCTTGGGACCGTCTATGCAGCTGTCAGTTTCGTTCACACAAGGATAGGAGGTCCTGATCGAGACTCACCCTCATAAGCGCACTGCTGGGTGTGGACGGCGACCACACCTCCAATTTGATCCATGAGGTTGCGGATCTTGTCCTCGGTGAAGCCGAGAGGGAGATCACCCATGAAGATGGAACGACCGTCACGCTCTGCAGTGTTGTTCTCCATGGGAGGACGATGAGGCATGCGAGCTCGGATCTGCATGGCCTTCTTGAAGTCGTACGACTCAACCCTGTATGTGTGGTTCATGCGGAAAGCCCGAAGGACTTGCTGAGAGGGGTCATGAACAGCGAACTGAACACGAACAGTGACCGGAAGTCCGAGCTTCTCTTGAATCTCCTTGTCCAAAAGGTTGATTCTGTCAAGCGCGCCGAATGGAGTCAAGAGCTCCTGGGCCTCCTCAACCGTCATATTAACTCGATCATGGCGGTAGATGATGTAGGTGCCTATGTTTGAAAGTCAGCTTCAATAACGAGAACGTAAGAAAAATGAACTCACGATTGGCGCGAACAGTCTCGGTGCGGCACGGGCGACCAAGAATCAAGCTTCCTCTACCCTGGATGCGGGCATCCTCGGCATCCTCCTTCGTCTATAATTTGTGTTAGTGAGGCTGTCGAGTGTGAAGACCATGTGAAAAGCTGCTTACGTTGAATTGAACGAAGGCGTAGGGCATGCCGCTTCCATCGCGACGAATCTTGACGAAGACAACTCCGAAGCGGTCGAACTCGCTGATCACAGCGGCCTCGAGAGTAATGTCATCCTTGTACTCAGGGAGACTGACACAATATATTAGTGCTGAGCACCGATGAGCTTCTCTCAAGGTTGGAACTTACTTGGCAACGAAGATGCAAGAACCAGAGGGGAAGCCGAACTGAGAGGTATCGGCGACATTGCGCACGAAGGAAGAGATGCCCTTGCTGGGAGAGCCACCGACATACTCATTGCGCTGAGACATGCCATTGCCACCAGCCTCCGAGGTCTGGAGGTTGTTCTGACCGAGGGTGTAAGACAAGGCCGTGACCACGGGATTCTTGCCTGAGCCAGACGCGGTCTCTTTGAAGACGTCGCTAGCGGTGGTCTCAGGGATTGTGGAACGGCTGCCACCCCTGTGAAACAAAGTCAGACTATGTTCAGAATGTGATGGGAAATCGAAACTTACACAGCGGCTGTGTCGGACGAAGTAGGACGCAGCGCCTTGGCGGCATTCTGGGAAGAACGGCTATGAAATGTCAGTGATGATGAGAAAATGCCATGAAGGAGATGCTACTGACGAAGGACTGCCTCTCAAAGAGGAAGTGTTCAACTGCGCCGAGTTCTCGGCGGTCTCGAGAGATGCGAGCAAGCCGTACGGGTTACCCGAGAGGTACTCGTTGGTAAGGCGGACGCCGCTGCCAGTCTCAACATCCTCCTCCGAGGAGGAGGAGGACTTTCCGGGAGACTTGCGACCATTGCGGTCGCCAGCCTGACCGGCATTCTGCGAGGCCATCGCAGCAGCCCGGAGCGCCTGCTCACGGTCGTGCTGGATGCCCAGCTGCTCAAGGCGCTCCATGAACATGGCTCTGTCAGCCGGGTCAGCCAGGAGATCGCTCATTGAAGCCATCGCGAATGTGTATGCTGAAGTTGTTAATTTCGCAAACGACGGTTTCGAAAATTGAGAGGTTCGAAAATGATGAGATTGGATATGTAGAAGTGATGTAGGCAAAAAGCAGTAGAAGCTTGAGATGAGTATGGGGAAGGGTTGTGGGTATGGATTGTTGTGTGAAGAGGAGTGTGATGTTTTGATTGTTTTGATGGGCGAGTTGTGGAGGGTGAGGAAGGTAACCTAGCAAAGGATGGGTTATTTTTCGAGAGGTCGAGGAATCCAGCGGATAGAGAGATCGTGGGATTGAGATTCAAACCCCAGGGCAAGGCTAGGGCTAGAAATGAGGCTATCGTGGGTCACTCACCTCTCACGATAGTTGCTGAAAGGGCGGGAGCAGCCTCATGGGCAGAGGGCCCTGCCTGCTCCCGCCTTCTGTGAGGTCATGACCTCACTCACGATAGTTGCAAGAGGCGAGAGCAGCCTCGTCTGTTCCCGCCCTTTGCGATGAAAGGCCACAATCTCACAAGAACTTTAGAAGAGGCGAGAGCGGCCCCATGGACGAGAGCTCCCACCTGCTCCTGCCCTTAATGAGATCATGACCCTACATTACAAAGGGTAGGACAGAGAGCAGCCTCATGAGTGACAGGCTTGTCTGCTCTCACCCCTTCGTGAGGAGGAGTTTGTGACTTCACTCACGATAGTTGCAGGGTGGGCAGGAGCAGCCTTGTGGATGACAGCTTGCTCCCGCCCTTTGTGAGGTGAGGTCATGACCTGACAGGTGATTGCAAGGAGGGCGAGAGCACCCTTGTAAACAAGGGGCCCTGCCTGCTCCTGCAGTTTTGTTCGAGCAAGTTATTCGAGCAAATTTTGCGAACAAGTTTTTGAAGCAGAGTGTTATAGTGTTGAAGCAAAATATCGAGAGAGCTGTTCAGCAAGTTAGTTCTCAGAACTCCGATTGAAAGATTTGGCATGGGATGCTCTCACCAGCCCACTCATCGTTTCTTGCGCGGCGATGAGATGGGCTGCCCTCATTGCGATTTTGGGACGGCAGCACTCGTCTGGTGTGGGCGAGAACAAGTTGAGAAGGAGTTGGTGTGCTCCAAGTGGGGAGACTTTGTTCACCCGGGGAAATCTGGGTGGTAGGCAGAATACGAAGTACGAATACGGCAGGGGCAAGTTGAAGACTCCTGCCTCAGATACCTGACCCAACATGAGAGTTGTTCTTGCCTTCCGTCTGATTTACCTACGTTACCTACCTTAGGTACCTTGAGGTGGCCAGAGGTTGCGGTCAAATTTCCTCAGTGAGAGATGAGGCATTTATCGCTCTAAGACGAAGATGAGCTTTGCTCACTCCTTTTGTTACTATAACCATAGAAAGGTTCAGCAAGACATTGATATAGCAAGCCTTGTGTATATCTGCAAATACATGAAAGTTCAAGCTGAACGTCAATCTTCTTTGTCAAGATACTGGTCATAACAATGCCTTGCCGAGCATTGATTCCTGCTCATCCTCCTAAACTTTCCCTCACCACCTCCTCCCCACAGGCAACTTGAACAGTCTCTTTTTTATTATGTTTCTTCAGTCATTTCGTTCATCGTATCTTCCCCCTCCACAAAATTACGTTGACTTTCTGTTTTCTTCTAGCCTCATGGTTTGTGGGATATGCCCTTTGGAAGATGTCACGGCGATCATACTGAAGAACTAATTTGATGTAGAATAAGCGTGACTATTAAATGTGTATATAATGTGTCCTCAATTATCCAAGTCCAGTCAGTAGAGCTCATACCTGATTACTGGGGGACTCGTCGCTGGAATCCTTATCATCGTCCGGTTCAGGTTGGGTAGCTTAGGTTTCCCAGGTTGCAAACATCGCACTGCTTCCAAGAGGAAAAGGTCGAGAATGATGAATATCAGCGATTAAGACCGCATCTCATTGTGGGCTGAGAGAATAAGGCAATTGAGGTCAAGCCTGTACTCCTTGAAGAAGGCACTCGGTTACATCTGCCGCTGAACAGCACGCGAAAGATTCTGGAAGCGGGAAGGCCTTTGACGTCTCCCGTTCTTACCTCAGGGCACTCTTGACCTTATCTTGTCTCTCAACAGCCCGATTTAACCCAGGTAATGTATGTGCAGTAGCAGGACTGGACATGACATCCAATGGCTGAACCTTCCACTCCAGAGTCTATGTGAGTTGACACAGGGGCTTGTCAGGTACCTACTTGGATGCCCGGGCAGCTCTAAAGCGCCACTTCCCAGATACTCAAAAGCTTCATCGGGCAAGGACGGGTACCATCCAATTCTTCTTCGCGATCTTCACTGAACACAACACCTGCCTGATAAATCTGAGGTCTCTGTAGACCTTAGGCAGGTTGGAAGGTAGAAACTTCCTCCACTAAAGCAGGTAGTGGATAGAAGGAAGACGACGATTGGCGAGGGCAAAAGGGCATATTTGCCTCTCCCACGTCTCCTTGCTATTCCCGAGCTACATCACACCAACACATCATAACCCGCAGGCATAATCACAGCTATTCTTTTCTTGGCACTTTGCTTGAATTATTCGATACCAGACACTCAGGTCCAAACAAAATCTACAGATATGGCCGACGACGGTGTAATCAGGGTGATCCGAAACCCGCAAACACAGCAGGCTTCTCGAGAAGAAGCCGACAGGAATGACGACTGTTGGGACTTCGAAAACATGGGAAGTCATCTCCGAGTAACACACATCGATGGGACCGTCCGGAATGTGGACAGGGACGCTCTCGGCACTACCATCTCGTCAGAAAGTGGCAGGATCTGGCTCATGATGTTGGTGAGTAATCCAACCCACCTTCATGCCGTTCACCAAATCTGACTGATGCACTCCAGGCCCAGTCATTGGCCATCACAGCTACGTTTCTGGGCTGGGTAGCACCCGGAAACACCAGGTACGTGCTATGATCACGAACATAATACGGCGTCCATTGGCTCATACTAATTACCAACAATAGTGTGCTGTTCCATACAGACCTACCTCAGACAGACAAAGTGCATTGGACGCCAATCATGTAGTTCATGGGAAGCTCCATCGGATTTCTCCTCCTCGGTCGACTTTCAGACCTGTACGGACGGAGGCACATCATCGTCGGAACCTCCCTTCTGGGAGTCGTCGGCTGCCTCCTCGGCTCCTTTGCGGTCAACGCCGAGATGCTCATCGCCGCCAATATCTGTAACGGAATGGCTGCTGCCGCCCAGCTACCTCTTGGAGTTGCTGTGGCCGAACTCGTGCCGAACAAGGACAGAGCAAGAACAGTTGCTGGTACTTTGGTGCTGCCATTCCTTGTTGCTGGTTTGGGCTCTGCCATAATCCCATCCATGTTAGACGGTGGCAGTCCGGTGCAATGGCGTTGGGGCTATTACACGGGAGCATTTCTCGCTTTCGTTTCCTCTCTCTTGTATTTGGGGCTTTATCGCCCACCTTCGTTCAAGCAGCTCAACATGGCTGGGAAGACCAAGCTTGAGATGATCAAGCACTTGGACTTTGTCGGCATCTTCCTTTACGTCTCTGGCTGTGTTTTGTTGCCACTCGGGTTCTGTTTGGGAATCTCCTCGTACCCTTCTGTTGGCAAGGAGGTAATTGGAACCCTAGTAGGTGGTTTCTCAGCGCTCGTCTTGTTCGTAATATACGGTGAGGGTGGATCGCATTCGAAAATTCTGATATATCTTCTAACATATCGCAGAAGCATTTTCCACCACCAAACAGCCTCTCATGCCTCCAAAGATGTTCAAGGATGTCCAGTTCGCAAGTCTCGTTGCTTGTGCAACTTTCTCCTCGATGGTTTTCTACGCCCTCACCGTCCTCTGGCCATTTGTTATCGGAAAGGTTTTCAACAAGGACTCGCACACGATTGCTTGGTCTGCCTCACTGCTACCCTTTGGTGCCACACTCGGAATAGCCTTGACAGCTGTTCCGTCACTACGTGGTAAACACTTCAGAAAACAGTGTATGGTAGCGTCAGGTGTGGCTCTGGCTCTCATGGCTCCATTATGCACTATATGGTTTGACAGCCGCCAAGGACTAATTGTTCTGGTGGGCATATGTGCTTCTTTTGGTAAGTCTTGCGGCGATCCCCCGGCGTTGCCTGAGAGTTTTTGACTGATACATACGTCTTAGCCCTTGGTCACATTGTTGCCGTTGTCATCACTGGTGTCACCCTTGTCTGGGAACCGCAAGATATCGGCCTCGCATCAGGAGTCCTCGGCTCAATGTGTAGCTTGGGCTGTGCCTTCGCAAGGGCATTAGTCACCTTGTTATTGAGGAAAAAGCTGGAGGAGGAGCTGACCAAGTCCGTCACGCCAGTTGCCTTGAGCGCTATCCTGCCGGCCCCTGTTCTGAAACAACTGGCCACCACCATCCAAGAGCAAGCAACAATGAACGGGAAAACCAACTTGACGGCGTTCACATCAGTGAGCATACTCTCCAGGGTTGCAATTACCAACGCAATTCAAGCCGGATACAGCTATTCACTTCGATCGATCTTCCTCGCAATCATCCCTTTCTCCGCTGTCCTCCTGATCGCCGCTTGCTTCGTTCCAAATCTGGACCAATTCAATACTCTGAAAGTTGCAAGAAGAATGCGAGGTCCTAACGGAAACGTGCCACAGAATAATGAAGAAGCGGCCGAAGAACCAGGCCTTGAGTTGTCGATGCTTGGTCGGCCTGTGTCAGCCGCAGATGTAATTTGATCTGTCTCAAGTGTTTTTTTGTTGACGGCAGCTTAGTAGGATGCTGGGTCATTGGGGGCTGGATCGCATCGGAATGTTTTCGAGCAGCATTGTTTCAGTGTTAGAGTAAGAAAGACCATAAACGCATAAATTGTTTCCGCAAAGGGCGTTTTCTAGATCCATGCATGAGTTGTTTCGCGAATTCCAGGCTGCACAAATGGTCCAGGTACGGGAGAGCGTAGTAATTCGATGAAATCCGGGGATTGCCTCATATCGAACGACCGGGGTGGTGACAGAGGATGATAACAGCTGTTGCGAGACCAATAAGACCAAGTTCTTATTCACCGGTTGCTAAACTCAATGTTCGTCAGATCCCGGCCGGTCTTTGGACTGACGATCGTTGGGCTGTTGGCTGAGGTGGAGGGGTGTGGAGACTGGACTTTGTTCATGGAAGTGGGAAATGTCTTGTCCACCGACAGCCAGAGCTCCGATGGCGGGGCATGGCGGGGTGCAACCGACGTCGGTCGCTCACCCCAAAAATTATTGGGCCGGGGCGCCGCCGGCGACATGCCACTCTCCCCTTGACTCACATTGCCAACCCGCCCAATTTCTCTATTTATCTCCAAGCTGTGGCCCTCGCTGATTCAGTCCAATTCCTCCTTTTCGACAATTGATACCCTCGATACCCCCTCGCCATAATTCACAATGGGCGAATTCCCCGTCAAGAAGTGCGGTACGTTTTAGCCCCTCCACCCCGCCATCGCCGCCCTTCCGCCATCGGGAAACCTCGACATTGGCAGATTGCAAACTTTGGCGCCTTTCAAGATGTGTCGAACAACCCAAACTAATTCAGAGTCCACCTCAAGGCGTTCTCGGCTGCACCGGCTCCGTCGGCCAGCGCTTCATCCTGCTTCTGTCGCAGCACCCGTACCTCAAGCTCGTCGCTGTCGGCGCCTCGTCCCGCTCCGCCGGCAAGAAATACCGCGATGCCGTGAGGTGGAAGCAGGCCTCGCCCATGGGCGCCGTCGCCGACCTCGTCGTCCGCGAGTGCAAGGCCTCTGAGTTCAGCGACTGCGACGTCGTCTTCAGCGGTCTTGACTCTGACGTTGCCGGTCAGATTGGTGAGCATCCCCAAGTGCCTGCGATTCCAGCGTCCGCAAAGGACTGCACCGCCTAGGTTTAGGAACAATCACTAACCATTACGGTCCAACAGAGATGGAATTCCTCAAGGCCAACCTCGCTGTCTTCTCCAACGCAAAGAACTACCGCCGCGATCCCCTCGTGCCCCTCGTCGTCCCCACCGTCAACCTGCCCCATCTCGACCTGATTCCCCACCAGCGCAAGCAGCACAACCTCGAAAAGGGCTTCCTCGTCTGCAACTCCAACTGCGCCGTCATCGGCCTCGTCATCCCCTTCGCGGCCCTGCAGGCCGTCTTCGGCCCCGTCGACCAGGTCTCCGTCGTCACCATGCAGGCCGTATCCGGCGCCGGCTACCCGGGCGTCTCGTCCATGGACATGATTGACAACGTCGTCCCCTTCATCTCGGGCGAGGAGGATAAGCTCGAGACGGAGGCGCAAAAGATCCTCGGCACCATCACCTCGGACCTCACCGCCTTTGAGGACCAGAGCCAGCTCAAGGTCAGCGCGGCGTGCAACCGCGTGCCCGTGCTCGACGGCCACACGGCCTGCGTCTCGCTCAAGTTTGCGCGCCGCCCCGCGCCCTCGGCCGAGGAGGTCAAGAAGGCGCTGCGCGAGTACGTGTCCGAGGCGCAGAAGCTTGGGTGCCCTTCGGCGCCGGAGAGCCCTATCCTCGTACACGACGAGCCTGACCGGCCGCAGCCGAGACTCGATCGCGACCTCGGTAGGGGGTACACTGTCAGCGTTGGCCGCGTTCGGGAGGACGAGAGCGGAATCTTTGATATCAAGTTTGTTGCGCTTAGCCACAACACCGTCATTGGCGCTGCTGGCTCGTCCATCCTCAACGCTGAGGCTGCTGTGCTCAAGGGCTTCGTGTAAGGAAATCCCGTCAAGACGGAGAGGGAGAGGAAGGGGAAATGTCGGATTCGTATGGTTTTCATGAATGATCTCAAAAAAAAGTATAGGTGTATAGGTGCATGGTTGGTCGCATTTACGGCATGGAAATATCACAGACAAAAAGACAAAGTAGAGAATATGGACGTACGTTCGATGAACATATCGCGTACGGTTTTGAGTATGATTTCTTCTGCGGCGATAACTATCAAGGCAGCGGCTGTTCGTGTTATGATCTGGCTATGCCAGTAACATGCTTTGAGTCAAGGGTCTCACTCGACCAGTTGTACTCTGGCCTTCTTGTGCAGGAAGCTCCACAGCCCAGCGTGAGGCCGGTGAGGGTGGCTGCCTCAATCGTCTGTTGACAAGTCATTACCAGCTTACCCTGAGCCAAAGACTGAGGCATGATAACACCTTTAACGCAGTCGTTGACCGGAAAAGCTGTCTTCTGATACGGACGCAGCCGTCCAGGGAAGCATGCTGGTAACTCAACGTTTGAAGATTATCTATTCAAATTACGAATCGCCAGCGTCAGGGAATCTTGCAGCCAAAAGACTGAAGAGCACTGCAAGCTTCTCTTCAGCAGCACACTCTGCTGGACTGTGACGGCTTTCAAGTTTGACAAAGCCGCCTTGATGCTCTTCGTCGCCCTCGGAATGGGCGACGAAGATTCTCTGATGACCATCGGAGATGCAGTGGCCTGTTTCGTTGAAGATCAGGATGAGTCGACCGTAGATATGTGCCTCGAGCCCAAGGACCACTTTGTTGCCCAACATTGGTCCAAAGTTCCGATACAAAACGATCTCAAACAGCAACGGAAGTCTGTCGCGGTCACGCCTTCGGGGTGGTTATGCTTCCTGTCGTACGCTTCTGTTTTCTTCCTTCTATCACAATAATTTAGCGACAACACTACCAGGTACTTTGGACTAATTATCGCCTATGCAAGTTTGCTTCTTGGAGGTCTGAATCACCTATCGGGCGGTGGCGATATTAAGGTGGAGGCATCGGCGGCTCTTCCTCCCCCCGATTCTGCCGATTCTCCCGGTCCTTCTGCTCCTGGTACTCGTCCAGCCTGTTCATACACCTCTCCCTGTCATACCGTTCTGTGAAAACGCCCTCCTCGCGGTATATCTGCGCCTGCGGCGTGTCCCGGGTTGTATGATGTACGTGTTTTCTATTCATGGCAGTCTGTGTTTGTAATGAGCATCAAAAGTGATAGTAGCGTTTTCATCATGAAGATTGCGCATACCATCTCGAACTTTTTGAACTTTTCCTTGGCCATGGCGAAAAACTCATGAAACGTGTAGGTTTGAAATCTGCGCCAGGCTTCTTCATCCGGTGCTTGCTGTATATCGCGAAGTTAGGAGCGTATTTGGTCAATGGGAAGGTTGAATAAGTCAGCATCCCCGGAAGGCTTACAGAATCTGATAACCTGGTCGGCTTCGGACCAGTCTGGGGATCCGCAAGGATAATCGTGCCGCGCTCCGTGTCGATGAGGATGTAATGACCGTCGCGGCCGGACGGGATGGTCGCGTAAACAAACACATGGGGCGGAAGGGGTGCGGTCGATATGTTGCCCTCATCGGGCTCGAAGAGCCACTCGTCGGCGTACTTGGTGGGCAGGCTCAGGACGACGTCACCGGTGAAATCGACAGCGGTGGCGCCCTCGTAGACCATCCACGGCTCCCAGTGGTCCTCCTTGGTACGGCTGACGTAGGGAATATGCTTCATCAGGTCCGCCACGGTGTCGTTCTTGCCGAGGCAGAAAGACTTGACGAAGCCGGGCGTGATGTGCTCCCAGCCGCCCTCGGGAGGCTGTTGGACGACCTCTGGCGGTAGGAAGAGCTGTGTGAGGAATTCATAGTAAGGTGTGAGCTCCGAGACGAGCTCCTTCCTCGAGTATGAAGGTTCTGCCATTCGGAGGGAGTGAGGAGACTATCTTTGTGCCGAGAGATGAACCAACAACGGAGCTCTTCACTGGGGAGGGGATGGGGTCCATACTCATGCTAGGCACCAACGTGGGTGCATGCGGGGCCGAGTTCACCTGAGAAACTTGTTGCCAAGCCTTGTTAGACGAGACATATGAAAAGAAGTTCCTTCGCCTGCTCCTTCATTGAGAGAGCTTATCTCGTTGCCCGTCGTTGGACGGCTGGTTCGATCAGTTCCCGGGTCTCAAAACAGCGGCACCGGCAATGGCCAGATCTGTTCCACAGGTGAGGATGAACCAGAAGCTGGTGGACCCCAATGCTCGACCATCACAAGTCTTTCAAGGTCTTAGAGAGGCGCTACGAGGCCGACTACACCCGGCTTGTGATGTCGCGGGTATTTCGACTGGGACTGCCGCCTTACGGAGAATCTCTGGGATCGAGTGAAGATGATGGAGTGCGGGGGTCCCTCCTATAGCAGAGAGGCCACGGCCTTTGGCGGAAGCGGCATGGCTCTTACACTTGCTTCTGGTTTTATGGCTATCCAGTTGTCCTTCGTAGATACTTAACACAATGTCCTTCGTGTAGACGACCAGTGGTATGTAATACCAAGGAACTCTGAATCAGAAAGAAGCGTGAACTGGTTTACGGAGGAAGAACCATATTCGAAAATGACATAATCCTCTGCCCCTATTTCAGAGAAAAATATTTCTAGTTCGTGTCTAGCGAGGTTTCTTTCCTTTACCCGGATTCATAACCTGCTGATGCCCCTCGGTGCGTGATCGAAGACTCAGAGAGGGGTGCGGGATGGCCAGAGTTGCGTTTCCGATACTGCCAGTTCGTCCATTCTATTGAATTTACATGCCTCCTAGCTGGTAGCTCTGAAACCTATTCAAGGTAGGTAATTTCGCAACCGCGGTCATGGCAGGAAAGAGGTTGTGGGAAGCCTCTCGCAGTCTTTCCCACCTCAACCAGAACGCCGTATTTACAGCAACGGAATCCTTCGACTGTTTGGTGACAATGAATACCCCTGATGGAGAGTAGATCGTCGCGTTCGGTTCTGGGGTATCTTCTCTGGGTGCCGTTCCTGTATAGTTTCTGGCAGTCGAATGAGGTAATGTGGCATTGACTTGACTATGAATACTCAACAGTTCCAAGACACGACATGGCAAAGTGTAGCAAACACTAAGCCTATGTGCAATCTATCAGAAAGACATGACTTATGAAGGAGACAGTGAATCAACAGAGCATTATGATAGGCACAATCCATACTTCAACAAACATGCATCTTACCCGACCCCGATTCACGATATCAAAGGGTAACCATCCAGCAACGAACCAAAACACAATGACATCAAAAAGCAAGTAGATCATTGGAATTAGCTCTACCATTGGTATCCTTAGCCCTCGAGGTAGCTGTCTTCTCGCGTTACCTTGGCCACTTTGGCACTATCAATAACAACTGCAACACTGGTAATCATCAGCGACGAATCGAACACGGAGCTAAAATTCCCGATTGAAAGAAGCCTTCAGACCTCCGAGATTCGGAAAGTCTACTCTCCATTGACCGATATGAACCAGCAAACAACAAAAAGCGATCAAACAAGGTCATGGCAAATGCCATGGGATGGATGCTGAAGTTGGGTAGGTGCCTCGGCTCGGTAAGATAAGACGAAAAATAATAACAATGCCCAAGCTCCCTCTGCTTCCTCAAACTCACACACGCAGCACAACGGTACCGGCCGAGTCAAGGTTTTCCTCGGAGCCTCATCCACCACCGAGATGAACCCCTGCGACAAAGCAACGAAACCTTGCGCACACGTTTCCTCGCGTATTGTGTTTTCCATCCGGTACGAAAGTAAGGTTTGCAATATTAAGCCTAGAGTAGAGGAGAAGGGGAGAATCAGTCGGTTTAGTCTAGTGAATTCTTTCCGTGCGTGTTGAATAGGTCCCTTGGACCCTTTGGATTATGGCAACTAGTCAAAACCTAATACTGACTGCCCAAGTCTTGGAAGAGACGAGTGAAGGGGCAAAATGAAGAGCCAAGGACAAGAAACACAACGGGAAACTGCGAATGGATTTCGACATCATTAACACGGTTGCCAGATTGCCAGATACCACATGTAAGCTTCGCAAACGTGCCAAGTCATCCATTCAGAAAGCCTCGCAAGAAGCCCTCTCTCGTGGCGCAGCTCACAGGCGTCCTTCGTAAGCACCCTGAACCTTTCTTTCCCCTTCCCAAACAAGTAATACCCTGAAGAAATAGAGAAAGACAGACATGGAGAATGCGAGAGGGGTGTGGAGAAAATGGGCCGGGTGGGAACCGGACAGTTGAGACGAACTCTGTTGAGGTCTCGTATGCATAGGTTCCCTTACCTTCCCTACTTGGCTGGATGTGGCTTGGTTTTCCTAAGCCGAGAAAACGAATGTTATCGTGACTTTACTTCGCTGTATGGCAGAACAGCAGATAAACGAGGCGGCAACAACGGCTCGGAGTTTTTGCTGGAATCATCAAATTCATTTGCTTAGCTCCGTAGCTAGCTGTTGCGTGATATCATAATGACAAGGAAAACCGAGACAGAAAATCATAAGCCGCGGCAGGATTCAACGCGGCTGTCGATATTCAGATTCGTTCGTCTGTGAGAGGCCACGAATAATCCTACTTCAAGCGCCAAGCCGGGGCCGCACAGATTGACTGTATCTAGGACGAGTTGCGAAGTGAACAGTGTTTGGAGCCGGTCACAACTTTCCTCACAAAGTCGCCAGCCGCTAAAACACCAAACAATGACACACCAGGATAGCACTGTTAATCATATGTTTGCATACTATACCAATTCTCGGCGAGCTACAGAAGCTCCGCGGGGGGGGGGGGGCACACCAATATTGTCGTCTCTTGATAGTGAGTTGCTGGTTCTGCTATGTAAGTGGTACGAACTCCAGAGCTCGCCCCTAGTTGGGGAGAAATATGTCCTTGGCCACGCGAGAGATTTCGCCTATATGAAGGGATATAGGGATACACTCAAGAAGGAAACCTGCAAGTGAAACAACCATGCGATGCAGGAGCAAGGCCGCGGGAAGGGCGCTGGTTGGCAGCGCAATCCGGATAGGTGCCGAACGAGACACGAGAAGTCGCGGGAGCTATATATGGTCGCCTGATTACCCCCCTTCTCTCGGCGTAAAGTCTGTTTACGTTTCAAGAAAGAAGATCGGAAATGCGGATGGACGTCGGCGGCCGGTGCTTGACATGGGACGACGTTATGCGTGTGCTGTTTGTCGTCGCGGCCGGAGCACGGACTCATCCCGGCAGCCAATTTCGGGGGTGGGAGGGGTCTCATGTGCGGGGAGTCGGCGAGCTTCTTCTGCAGTTCTCGGCCCAAGCCGGTGCGTGCATGTGTACAGCCTGCGGCGCGATGACGATTCTCCCTTCTCCGGCTTTGTCATTTGCCATGCAGTGCCCGCTTGACGCTGAGGCTATGTTGCATCGTCGACTGCAGCTCAATCAAAGGCGAAACATGTTCTCTGTGGGTTTCCGACGGTGCGAATCTATGCAGGAGAGAGACACAGCCAGAAAGAGTGAGACATGCAAAAACCCGAGGCAGCTTCCGAAAGTAAAAAGAAAACTGAATCTCAAAAAAAATTAGATGCCAAGTTAAGAGGACAAGGGAGAGGCGAGTGCTTGTTGGATCAGGTTCAGGGGTTCAGCTTTCAGCGTCGTAGTCTCTTGATGTGAGGCTCATCAGACGAGAGCGTATTGCTTGCGACGTAGCAAGACAGATCCGACGCGTCAACATCGAGAAGCTCATGGGTAAAGAACAAGCAATGCTACCAGAAGAACTTGAAATAAGCTGGGACGGGGACTGCCAGCCCAACTAGGCGTCCGTGTGAAACACACATTCGGGATCCGGGGGAGATGGGACGAAGAGAGAATTGACCCTGAACGGACGGACAGACAGGGGTGGAAAGCACTGATGCCATTGTGTCAAGAACGAGGCGTTGGCCGTTTGGTTCGCGGGGGTTGGGTCGCGAGGTAAATTTGGAAGCAGACGGGCTGAAGAAGCAAACGACGGCGTGAAGAGGCGCCGCTGGGCGTTCTAAGACCCGGAAGAGCCCACGGACACGGAGGCGAGGGAGGGCCAGGCAGGCTCCGGGCGCCAACCGCCAACCGCCATCAGCCAAGGTGGGCTGAATCGGGAGGAGGCGAGTGACAGCGATTGCCGAGATAGCGGGCGGCGCGACAGTCTTGGCCAAGCCCAGACCGGGATGTTGTTTGTCCTAGGTCACGAAGGGCAGAAGACGATAGTCCACGAGGCTGGACAGAGTGTAACGGATGGCGGAGATGAAATCGATAGACAAGGCGAGCGATGACCAAACGCGTTAGGTTGGTTAAGCCAGGCGGAGAGGCACGAGGGCCCAGCCTTTAGAGCGCAACGATGTTCAACTGCCGGGGTTTGGGGCTGTCGACAAAGTTCAAAGAAATCGTATCTCTTGAGAGCCGCAAACGGTGATATCGACTTGGTCCAGGTCAACTGCTATGTACTTTCCAATGAGGAGGCATGCTGGCCAGGAAGCATGGTGGTAATTAGGCGATCAGGCGCGTCAGTGCAGACACAAAAGCAATGCGCCGGGTTTGGAAGGGCGACGGGCGGCGGCAATCAAGTTTGCGGAGCGATTGAGATTTCGGCGTGCAGCTGACAATTGAACATTGCCAGGGTCCTGGGGCCGGACCCCCCGGTCTGCATAGTCCAGAACATGGCTTTGCCGCCGTGGTGGTGTTAGTGAAGGGTATTCGTACTCCGTACCGGAAGCTTGGATGGAACGCCATTTCGTCTGTTGATGGTAGCACTCGGATTGGATTGTGTAGAGTTGGATAATGACCGGGCCATTCGGTAGATGCCGCCACACAAGCATGAAGATGGGCGCAGGCATTGTGAAGCTGAAGCACACCGCAGTCTTTTCTGCGTGCTTCAGATTTCAGACTTTAAGGGTTGAAGTGGGCACGGGGTGACCACTGACAGGGTGAAGTGGCACCGTGACAATTGGGCCCAAGGGATTGAGATACCAGGAGCCCGGACTTAGTGCTACCGGGGCTCTCATGCCGATGCCGATGCAAATGCAAATGCAGATATGCGAAAGCGGATGCAATTCGAGCCCTTGGTGCGGTCAAGAATCGACTTGGGGGGTGGCTGTTATTGACTCGTCGTCTTTGATTCAAAAGTACGAAGTAGGAAGATCAAATCGACAAAGGGGAGCCTCGCAGAACTAAGAATAGGACTAGATGATGACGGGATGTGCAATGGTCTTTGCTGATCGTTCGTGACCTGAAACTAGCTGGGCCAATGTTGCAGCATTTCTTAGGCGACAGAATATGCGAGAGTAGGAAATGTATTCGGAATATGGGGAAGATGTTGATCGTGCGATACTCGTATCTATTGCATAGACGGTAGTCTGTATCCGTACTCCGTATCCTCGGAGGCTCAACGATAGATCTTGGGTATCAGGGATGCTTACCTAGTGTAGTTAGGGGCGAACCGATACAAGGAAATAGTGCCAAAATGCGACTAATCAGCTTTGGAGGGTGTTTAGTGTAGACCGGGGTCTCGTAAGGGATGAAGATACGGGAGAGATGATATTCGTATATATGAGTTGAGAGCAGCGGACACGATGTTGGCTGGGGTGACCCGTGTCATGTTCCAACTTCCAGCAAGGCGTGCGCGTCAGGTTCGGGGTCCGTTTGAACGGGCTGTGCCTAGTGCGGCGTACCGAAGTAATAAAGCGAGGATTCAACTCGGTGGGGTCAACGTTTGCATGTGCAGGCGAGCGGCAGGTAAATGCAAAAGGGTAGGGAGTTGAGGCTGTTGAGCCCTGGGTCCTGGGTGGAGGGACTCAGGGAGACGGCGGGAGGATCAGGTTCACCTTTTCTTTGAGTCTTGGCTCTCGCGATTCTGGAAACTCTGGGTCTCTGCGGTCCGCGGAAACAAAAGGGGAAGGAACGTGGGAACCTTACTACACCTGTCCCGGGGTTCCATAGGGAATTCTGACAGCTGACTAAGACACATAAGATGGACAATCCATGCATAAACACCGGGGAAGAGCATCTGTGTAAACGACAGGCGTTCATAACTTTGACCACTTAAAGATACCTGCCCAGCTGAGACCAGCCCGGCGTCTGTGCACTTCTTCTTCCTTCTTCTTCCTTGTCCTTGCCCTTCACTACTGCCAAAAGCTGCAGCCACTCGGCACAGCGGGAAAAGGGAAGGGGAAAGAGAAGTGAGGCAGGCACCTTTGAGAAAGGAAAGCCACGTGCTACAACAATCATTGAACTCAAGTGGTGGAAGGTACTTAGGTAATGAAAGTGCCTGCCAAAGTTTCCATCACCCGTTTGCATAAGGCAGGCAGCGAGAGAGGGAGCGAAGGGGAATGCGCTGAGGAATTTGGCCGAATTAAAGTAATCCCGAGGTGAAATAAATTGGATTACTTGCGGGAGGAACTTGAGACGTTTTCATCTCATTGCCATAACTCACTACCACAGACTCGCTGATTGGTAGAGTAGCGTTCTGTTTTCTCAAATAAGAAACTGTTTTTCTGAGTATTTGGTTTAGAGACAAAAGCCACCTCAGTTTCGCACTCGCACACAACACCATTTGAAATCTTCTCCTTTCGATTCATGCGCGCGCCCGAGCCGTAAATCGCTTTTTGATCGTCGCATGCCGTGCAGTAGATCCAATAGTCAGTGACGAGTGTGTGATCCAGCTCAACTCGCATCGCATCGGCACGGAATACCTTACTGCGTAAGTGTTGGACGTGCGGGCCTGTCGGCAGCAGCGCCGATAGAAACCAGGGACTAGTGGTGTAATGACGGAGTTGGGTGGTTTTTTAATTGAGTTGTGGCTGTGACGGGATTGAGAGAGCTTGGCCCGTGGGAGAAAGCGCGCAAAGGGGGCGAAAGCGAATTACTACGAGGTACTTTGAAAAGGTAGTCGTCATCTCTAGCGGCCAAGGTCTGGTCTGCCCACTTTAGCAACTGACTAGCCCCCGGTCCAAGACGTGCAAAAAAGATGCGAGAATCGTGAGTGTGATGTCCAGTCCAAGGCCAAGTAACGGCCAAAAAAGCAAGGTCCACAATGATTGACAGTTGAAAGGTGAACCTGTCTTGAACATTGTGACCAGGTGCTCCCGACCAAACCGATGGCCCCAGTTCCCCACCGCGAGATCATTTGCAGCTTTCTGTCTTGCCTTAGCGTCTTCTGTACCGAAAGACCGACCGACCGACCGACGGCCCCGGTGTCGAACACGCGATGGGATGGAATGGGATGGGATGGGAGACATGTGCAGCTATACGAAGTGTGAAAGTGGTATTCAATCGTGTCCATCATGTCAATCGCTTCAGTCTCGTTGTCGTCACCTCGTCACACTCGGCTAGCTCACCTGCCACCAGGCCGCTACTTCATGGCCGACCTCCTTACCCCTGCTCGTGCACAACTTGCTTATGTCTATGGGGTATTGCGCAGTAGTGTGGTGTATCAATGACTGATGGCTGGTGAGGGGGACGTCTGGAGCTGAGTAAGATCAGTACGATCAAGGCACCTACATGAAGGAGCTTGAGACAAGATGTAGTTTGGGCTACACGACAAGGCAAACACTGCAAACCTTGAGCATACTTGTCAACACAACATGAGAAAACAACATGGCCGGCGCATCTGAGAATAGCCGCTGTGATGAAAGCTGAGGTGAGAGACTGTGAGTGAGGTGAGTGACAAGACTGCAGGCAGGCACTTTAACCTGGAACCCTTTCGGGCCCGTCCCAGTCCCAGCGATTGCACCGCCCCCACCCCTGCTCTTGCGCAGACCCACACCCTCCTTGCTATTCGATGCATCCACGACCACGATCCCACGCCTGTCCAGTCCGGTCCCGCCCCGCCCGGTCCAGTCCCAAGGAGGCACTGGGAAGGCGCTGGAGGTTCTTTCTCTCTTTCTTGCCCGCTGTGCCCGTCTCCCGTCTTGTGGCAGGACCGACTGACTGATTGACTGACTGACGCTGCTGGTCAGTGCCTGCCTGCCCGTCCGGGTGAAGTCTGCGCTCCGCACCTGACACCCACAATGGAAGTTGGCAAGCCCATGTTCGACATCTGGTCCCTGTCGCGCGCTCACCATCGTCCACGCCGTGCACCTCACGCTCGACCCGTCCAATACCACCCATGTCATCCGCCCAGTTCCAGTCCTGGTCCCTGTCACTGGTCATGGCCTCTCGGGTCCCCAGTCTTTCCCTCATCCTATTCTCTCTCTCGCTGGCTGCTGCTCTTTTCACTTTGCCGCCGCCTGCTGGGCTCTTTTGCTCTGCCACCACTGCTACCTTACCACCTTACTTCCCGCCTGCTTATTCGGCTCCTGCCAACCACGCCGAAAACACTCAAAGCCCAAGGCTGCTCCGCTGCTCGGCTTCGACCTGTCACCTCGTCTCTTCTTCTCCTCTTCCTTCCTATTTCTAACTATCCCAACAACCCCCTCACCTTTCCTACTACCTACTACTACCTACAGTGACCCGCCTCATTCGCCAGTTTCTCACGATCACGAACTGCCTCACGACCACGCCTAATCCCGACCGATCCTTCTACAGATACACATACACGCCATCTTTGCACATAACCAGAGAAGAGAATCCGCATCTCAACCTCCATAGCTCGCACCGCCATGGTCTCTTGCGAAATCTAAAGGCCCCAACGCCCCATTCCCGGCCCTTACACGTCGGCCCCAGTTTGATTGCTAGCACCAATCAATTGGCATTTGCTACCGTGCATTCCGCCTGCCAGTCGCTTGCTGCTTGTCATACATCACGCCTCGCGCCTGCTATTAGACCCATCTCATCTAAGGTGGTGCCAGCTCTTGCCAACGCATTGTCTCACCATCCAACAACCCTAATTACCCAAGTACATACTTGGTAGCTTCTGTCTCTCCTACGCGGGCTGACAGATTCGGAGGGAATGGATTCGTATGTCTCTCATCCTTCAATAACCGGGCCATGCCTCTCGTGTTCTTTCTCTTGTCTCTGCCTGTTCAGCTCAAGAAAGTCACGATCAGCACCGGCTTGCACTTTGCACTCAGCGCCGTCAAATGGCTGTAACTAATCTTGTGTGGCACAGCTTTATCGCCGTCGCTGGCTGGGCACAGCATACCAGCCCTCAACCTGGCGGAAGACCTTTTGGCCATTTTCGATCTCTCTCTTCAATAGCTCGATCTCCGTCACCAAGTCCCCGAGCCACGAAAACGTCGAGTCAAGCACCTTCCGTTGTTGACATGCCCATCATGTCTTCTTCAGTAGCATCTTCACCGACACTACGACCCACGACAACAGTAACACCTCCAGACGATGACGGCGAGCTGAGCACCCTACCTGACCCACGCAGCCGGGCTATGAGTCCCGCTAGCGAAGCCGATGCTGCTCAGCATCCCGAGCTGAATGACGAAGTCGCAACTCTGAGCGCCAAATTAATAAACGCCATCAACCACCAGACAACCCTCGACGACACATTATCCGCCACAAGACAAGAGTTGGAAAGAGCACGCGAGAAAATCAAGCATTTAGAAGAACAAAACGAATCTCAAAGAGAGATGCTTGCGGGCGATATTTGGATTCGTCGCAAGACCGCAGAGGAAGAGAAGAAGACCATTATGCTCCGTGTTAACCAAGAGAAGAAACTCCGAGAAGACGCAGAGAAGGAGCAAAAGAGGATTGAGCAAGAGTTGGAGAGTCTATCCACTGCTTTATTCGAGGAGGCCAACAACATGGTCATCACTGCAAAAGAGGAGGCGAGGGTGGAGCAGGAAGCCATCCAACGAAAGAACGACAATCTGAGATCTCAGCTTGGCGATATGGAGGCCTTGCTGACCTCTCAACAACAACAACTAGCAGATCTTAAGCACGTCATGGAGCAGATGATGCTCGAAAGGGACGATGCTACAACCGGCACAGCTCCGTCGTCTCCCGGCTTTAGTAAACCCGACACCACAAAGGACGATGATCGCTCAGAAGGCCTCGTCGCTTCGCCTCTCTTGGATCCGTCTTCGCCGACGTACCCTACTAGCTTGACGCATCTCATTCAGCCTGTTCTCAGGACTGATCTTGGAGCTTATGAGGACTTTCTTAGCCTCACAAAGCTGTCCAGGAATCGTGCTGGCAGCCGTGTTTCGTCTGGATCATATAACGGTCTAAGTGGGCTGGGTCTCGGTATGGGCGGCAGCACCTCAAGCGCTCACCCTTCCAATGCCTCAACTGCTTCCCTATCCACGGCTGGGACCCCAGCGACGTCATCGCCGCAGACCCCGAATACCCCGGCCTCTGTCTCAAGCACGGCCTCAGCCAATGTGGGCCCGCCCCCGCCGGCTCTCAAGGAAACCAAGTTTTTCAAGCGTGTCCTGGCAGAGGATGTTGAGCCGACACTCCGACTGGATATTGCCCCGGGCCTGTCCTGGCTTGCGCGTCGCAGTGTTTTGAATGCCATGAGCGATGGCTCAATCGTGGTGGAGCCAATTCCTGCCAATGCGCCCTTTGCGTCAATCGTCAAGCCGCAGTTCTATCCCTGTTCCCTGTGTGGCGATGCACGGAAGGATGAGGAGCACCTGCGAACATACCGCTTCCGAACCAGCGAGTCCGAATCAGCTCAGAGATACCCTCTTTGCAAATATTGCTTGGGCCGCGTGAGATCCACCTGCGATTTCCTCAACTTTTTGCGTATCGTAAAAGATGGTCATTGGCGAGCGGAAGACGAAGACGCAGAAAAGGCTGCCTGGGAGGAAAGCGTCCGCCTGCGGGAACAGATGTTCTGGTCCCGAATCGGCGGTGGCGTCGTCCCGGCCAGTCATCATCACTCACTACCCCTGGAGAAGAGCCCTCGGACTAGCCATGAGAGCGAGTCTAGAGAAATAGAACCAGAGGTGGCAGTGACGCCTTCGGAGAACATCAATGATGACGCTACTCCCTTTGCCACTCCCCTCGAGGAGACGGCTAGCCAGCTGGATGCCGAGGAGTCATTAGCAAGACCAGAGACGCCTTGCCCGAGTAATCGAAACTCAACACTGTCGTCTTCGCCAGAGAAGGGCTCTATTGCAGAGAAGGACGGCGAGAAACGACTGTCTATCAATATTCCCATCAAAGAGGAGCAGCAGATTATCGTTGCGACAACCGAGGAAAAGGCCGAAGCCACAGCATAATCATGAGCGACTCATCGTAGCGATCGATCCCCGATTTCTGATACGCACCACATACACTTAATCTTCGATACTGTATTAATTACACCCTACGCCACCGCAGCAGAAATGTCGGGGCTCATAATGAAGACCAAACGGGAGAAAAACATGGGGGAAAGTCAAGGAAGGGGCAGAGCAGGTTCACAGACATGTGACCATAGGATGGACAGAGGGGACAAAAGTCACCCATACACTTTTTTATTCTTTTTATCGTTGTTCTGGGCATCCATTTAGTAAGGGGCATTGGCGTTTTGGAGAGCAAAAACTGTGTCCCATTCCCAAAAGGGGGGAATAGGCAAACAGTTGCCGTCATGAGAGCAGGAGAAGAAGGCTGGATCAAGCAGGTAGAGTTGCTAGACAAACAACAGGGACAAGGAGGATGGATGGATGGGGGGATCACAGACATCAAAGGTTACTGCATCGTAATGCCTTTTTATTAATGCCAAAGATGATGATGCCTCGAGCATTGGATGAACCTTCAATACCTACCTGTCTCGCTCATTTCGTTGTAACTTCAAATGTGAAAGCCTTTCCACCTATGTGATGGGACTTATATCGAGTACCATTGAATAAGACTCATGATGATCCAATTTAGTTCCTAGTAAGTTCATTCACGAATCACTTGGCAGTAGCATTCATTGGACATGTCATTTCTTTTTGGAATCTTACATTAACAAAGGAAAAAAAAGCTTCGGCGCTTTGTGGCCAACCCACTTCCACCATCCCCGCCTTGTCCGCTCCATTCACGGCTGGTATACAACGGGCGAATTCGACGAAGAGAGAAGAAAATCTGTGAGATCAAAGATGATTTGATCAACTTTCCCCTTTCATCAGGCCATTACAATCCAGGCCCAGATCTTCTAATCCCCTTTCTTTTCTCAAGTTCAGAGCTCTTCCTGAGCAGTAGCCTCCTTGCCGCCATCACTCGCGGGCTTGGCCTTCTTCTGCTCAGCCTCCCTCTGGCCCTGAACGCTCTCGGCGACCTTGGGAGCGGCGGCCGAGTCGTCGGCCTTGGACTTGGTCTCTTGGTCGACGCCCTGAACATCGGGGTGAGGAGGAGCGACGTTCTGCTCCTGGGGCCATCCGCCCTCGGGCATGTGAACCTCGTTTCCACTTGCGTCGACGACGCGTGTCCGCGTCTCGTATTTTGTCTTGAACTCGACCTTGCCCTCCAACGCCTTCACCTGCTCCTCGTCGAGGAGGTTGCCGTCCTGGTCCCGGTACTCAACCTTCTCTTCGCGGGACAGAACCTTCTGTCCTGGGGCTCCCGAGACGGCAGGCTCAGCCTGCTCCTTTTGAGCCTCGCCTATGGGGATCTGGCCAACTTGACCGCCTACAGGGGCGGCGGGAGCCTCCGACTTGATAGGTGTCGGTGTGGCTCCAACAGCGGCGGAAGTGCGAGTGAGAAGCTCAGTGTATTGAGAGTACTATAATGCCAGAAAGTAATGTCAGCCTCGTTCCGTTAAATTCACAAGCCCTACCAAAGATGTTTTGACAAATTTCGTTTCAATTGGCTATCAACCGTTTCTCAAAATCGATCCCGCCTGACCCAAGATTTGTCCCGTCACAGGCTTTTACAATCCTCTATCTGGCACTCCTCTACTCGGAATGAAGGCAGTAGTGTTACTTACGTCATCAAAGAAGTTGTTGCAGTCGAAATCCCATGTGCCAACGATCTTGAGCCGGCTGCACTCTGACTTGGTCCAGGCGTTACCATAGGCCAGAGGAGAGAAGAGCACGAAGGCAACGATCGTGAGCGCCAAGAAGGCAACGGCGCTGACGCGGTTGATGGCAGGGTTCTTACGGATACCAGCGAGCGAGACTCGGGCGGTGGCAAAGTCGAAGATGGAGCAGAATGCCATGACTGCGAAGTAGAGGGCGGGAAAGTAGTGGTGCAGGAACAGCTGACGGTCCATGAGGTAGAACGGGAAGTAGTGGAAAGCCCAGCCCAGAACCGCAGTGCCGATCTCGTAGTCGAATCGCTTGAACGTGGTGTTG